TACTGTACTGGCTGCCTGGAGATATTAACCCCTTAAGGACCAACCTTCTGAAATAAAAGGGAATCATGACATGTCACACATGTCATGTGCCCTTAAGGGGTTAATGTAAGATGGAGGTGTCATTTGGTCTGCCATTTAGTTTGCAACCTGCACAGAATGTACTTGAGATACATTGAGAGCATTATACAGGAACTGGTGAAAATATGCAATGAAACGGTCACTAAATTACCAAGAAAATATGAAATAATTGAACCGAGCTGGATACATTTATCCTTTGTCAATTTCTAAGTATATATTGGGCTTTTGATTAGTATACAACTGAGTGGTAGTCATTTATCCAATCTCAGGATGATGAAAGGTTGAGTATAATCCATCTGGAATAGTTACTTCCATGACATACTATAATCAATGGAACACTTACCAATGACTGAACTTCTGTTGATTGAAGGAAGGAGATGATGGAAACTTCAGAGGAAGCACCACAGTTTTAACCTTTTTATCATTATAGCCCCCTACTCCTATCTCTTCGTCTACCTGTTATGTGTTTGCGTTTAATCTAACAATGTAAAATACACATAGGTGAGGTGACAGATGTTCATGTCGTGGGATTTGAACTAAAATGGTTTGTTAACAATTTATGTGAGGAGTTTATGAATTTCTCCTTTAAGCATGGTTTCAATGAACAAAATGCGCCATCTACTGGCAGAAAATCATAAAATGATCAGAATTATCAGCAATAATATAATATTTTTAAAAAATATTTATGTCTACAATAAAAACATAAAATGAAATGCAGGTATAAATACTAAGGGAACACTGCAAGCACCGTAATCACTACACCCCTCCCCTCCCCCCCAAGCCCTGGGGTCCTCTACTAAAAGGAGTGCTTTATGTGGCCCTGGTTTCTTGGCCATCTATGTAGAGGCAGCAGGTCTCCCAATTGAGGACTAGCCCGGGCAGCAGGAGGGGGAGATGGCTGCTCTCTCTCAATGAATTACACCAGTCTGCTGAAGAATTATCCTACTATCCTTCCCAACTCCGGCGGGAGTTATCCAAGTCCCTGGAGCAGCTCTTAGAACTGCCTTCTGAGAAGTTTGTATTTGCTGACCTCACCTGCACATTGGCAGACAATCAAGATGTCTGCTGGCTCCTTTCCAAAGCAACTAGACAAGGACATAGTGCACCCACAAATGGCTACCTAAAAACCACACCTTTGATGGCATAGACTCCAGGTGTTGGGCTAAATTGGATCAGCAGGCTATGAGTAAGCCATGTCTTCAGACTACTGCTGCGCATAATGGACAGAACAGGGCTCCGCCACCTATAATCACCACCAGTATACTTTACTCACCAAGGCCGCATGAGCCTTCCAAACTTTTTATGCTGTGCTATGCCTGAACGTTCAAATGTTTTATTCTAGACACAATTCTCCTCCACAACATTGCACTGGACTAAAGCGGTTTTGTGGATTTTGAGCATGGGCTCTCTGGATTCGACAGAGACTATATGGTGACTCTCCCCACTCACATTGATCTGTGGAGGCACTATGTTTGACTGAAAGCATTTTTCAGTACAGGGAATCAGTTGATAATTTTTTTTTTGTATAAGGCCAGTGAAGGGATTTTTTTCAGCAGAAGTTCTTACATGTTGGTTTATCTATTTTACTTTCAGCTCTTGTTTAATATTATTTTGTTTAATTCATGGCTATTCTACAGTGCTCCAGAGGCTGTCTACTAGTCTCTTTAAGTTAGTCTATATATTCCTACTTTACTATTATAAAAGCCCTTAATCCCACGATTTTTCTTTATGAAGCCTATGGTATGATACTTGTTATATACCTACTTGACTGTCATGCTGTATTTTATTCAGATTGAGAAAAAAGGGAAAACAAATAATGAATGAAAGAAAGAAAGAAAGAAAGAAATACATATTATAAAACAGTGCTGTGATGTCCCAGACACTTCATCTAAGTCTAAGTAAAGGTAAGAAATGCATATTCATACTGTTCCCCCTACAAACACTATTTATAAATACAAATGTCCCTAACTGTACCCCACTACGTTAGCGAGGGACTTTCCAAACATTTATTAAAAAAACATAAAACATTGTTAACCTTGACTGTTCATCTTCTGTCATGAAAAAAGGGCTAAAAAACTAAAACAAAAAAAACACATAGCTAATCTAGCTACATGGTTGTACTGTTATGGGCAAATGCAAATATTACAAGTTTTAGAATGAAATGTTGTATTTCTTAAACTGTGTACTTTGTCTTTAAGAGATATTGCAAACTGACAAGGTGTTAGAAATGGAACATATTGTTTTTCATAACTGTTTCCTTAAGCAATAACCCCAGTGCATAATATGTTTGCGCCATTTTGTCCCAGACGAATTACAATAACAATAATGCATAAACAAGCTTCAAGGCTATACTACGACTCTTGCAGTACACAATATACTGTGGTAACCCCAAGTTAATGGAACTTCCCCAAATCCAGAAATCTCCCAAGACTGTACACTTACGACTTAGTATAAACAACAGATAAAACCTATTCAGACTTTAAGATGCCATCTTGAACGAAGTCAGGAAAATTTCCATGACATATACACCCTTTAGTTATGGCCTTGTATGTTTGCCAAGTTAAGGGAGGTCCTAAATTGAATAAAGTAAAAGAAGTGTCACTTTTTCATATATGAACTACGGTAACCCTAAAATGGAGACACCTAAGGTATAAATAGGTGTACTTTTAAAATGTTAAGACACAGAGGAGAGACTTGGAGACAGACGCTGCTCCATCTTAAAATGACAGAGAGGCTGACATGATGACATGTTCAGAAGGGTATGTTAACCTATTAATGATATTTGCAAGCATGTAATTTAATCTTATAAACTCTGCTATAATGGATTTGATATTTATATTTTTATATAATAAATATCCAAAAGACAATCTTGCTTCCAAGACAATCCTCATTTTATATTGTATTCTCAATTATTTATATATGTTAAATAGAGGGTCTCTTACACTATATAAAATTATGGCTAAGATATCTGTATGGTTAACCCTACTAAGTTCTATGCTTTAAGACATTATAGTGGTAAATAAGGGAACCAGCCGCAGTTACAATTGGCGACCACGAAGGGACTTGTACTTGGAAGCTTTAACTATAAAATAATAAATACCTAGGTAACCTCTTATACGTAAGAGAAGACACAATACTTTGTCATGGCACAAGTCTTGAAATATCAAGAATCTATTGAGCTATTTGTAGCCCAGACTCAGAGAGAGATCTTCATCATTAGAGATGATTTTAATGTGAACTTGTAAAAGGCACTTTGAGTTCAGATTCAGGTACATTGTAATTAGCATACAATGCTGAAATTGTGGATCTTAATATCATAAGATAACAAATATACATATTTGGTAAACTCACTGATATGCCTAATACACCAGCATAGCATGGCCCATTAGTTCCAGGACAGTGGATTGTAGGCAAGAGGATATGTTCTCTTTGTAGCTGCTTAGTATGCATGCGCAGGAAATAGATTAATGCAAAATGTAGTCAAAAGAAAAGTGATAAGACAGAGCGATGAAATTTGAAGTCTAATTCCAAGAATGCAAAGAAAATTGCATTATGGCTTAATGAAAACATTCATGACACAGAAGCGACAGACAGACAGTCCACTATATAAGAAAAGTTTTATAAAACAGTGATAATTTCCATATTGTCAGTTACACTAGCTGTTCATTGAAAATCAGGAATTATAACAGCATAACTATTTTTGGAGTCTGGAATTTCCAGCCAAGGTTGCGGAGATACAGAGACATGTAAACATTCCAAGGAATTGAGAAGTCATTGTTTTATATTCCAAATTATGAACAACATTATTACATACAGCCATAAAGAGAAAGACATGGGTTTTAAGTAAATTCAGTGCAGTACAATGCGGTACACTGCAGCATGTATTTTATATAATATATGATAACTAGCTCATATTTTTTCCTAAACAGAGTTGAAATTATACTACCCTCCTAGAAAAAAGGGCAACAGGTGGTTATACATCCTTTGCTTCTCTAAATGCTATGCAAAAATAAATTTATAAAATTATTAAAAATAATATATATGTAAGATAAATTAGGGCAAAATAAAATTGTAACTAGACAGGATCTCTGATAACTTTTACACTGAAATTATTAAAGGCTCATTTAAATAAAATGTTAAATACATTTACAGCTTTAAATATGACCAAAATATACTAAATGATGTGTTAAGCAGCCAGCCCAATTTACTAGAATAGCATAAGTATTCTACTATTTAAAGTGCACAATTCCTGCACATAATGACTTTGCTTACTCAGGTACAGTCTTTAGTCTATTGCAATGGCAGTAAAGTCCACCAATTTTAAAAGGGAAAGCTTACTTAAATCAGTGGTACTATCCCACTGTACCTGTAGTGCTAGCAGTAAGGAAATTAGAACAATGATATTGTACTACTGACTAATCAGATCACACATGTAATCTCAGTGAATTTCATAAAATAATATAAAATAAGATTAAATATCAAAGTTGTTTATATATAAATATATCAATGTTGTTTATAAATAAATGTATATAGACCAGGCAATAAGAACATTCAGCAGCCTGCTCTCTCAGAGCCAGAAACGGATTTATAAAAATAAAAAGTAGGTTTTAAAAGTTCCACAGTCAACCACACATGATGAGTGAAATAATTGCTTCTTTAAAAGCTATATGCTGCCGCAATTATGTATATAAATACAGATTAGGGCACAGCGTAGAAATAAAAATACAGTTTCAAATCTCATATATGGGGATTCAGTTCCACCACATATTCTACAATTCTGAAAGAGGCTAATTTTAATAAGTTGTAAGAGCATTGTGAATATATATATATATATATATATATATATATATATATATATACACACTGCAAAATTAATTTGATATTGCAAAGCCTGCTATAGTCTAAACAGACAAAAAAAAACTCTTACAGGTGGGGTATAACCTGACTTAGGCAGCAGATGACTACGTAGCCTTCCAGCTAGTAATGGAAATTGTTGTATAACAGGAAAAGATACTTGAGTGTACCAAGAGCTTCCTTTGGTCTGAAATCATCGTCACTGACTAAATATTGTAAAGTCAAATGTGACCTGGCCATAGATAACACCAAATCAAATAAAGGGCTAGCTTCCTGCCTACTCCGAAGTGGAAATCATAAAAGCATGTTGGCTAAATTAGACTTGGCTAAATTGGAATTCAAAGAGGACAAGGATAAGAACTAAATAACAGTTGTAGCAAAGGTAAGCTCTACAAGTGAGTAATAACCTAAGAATCAGGGGATACCCTGAATCAGAGGGGGAAGGCATCACCTGTTGCAATTCCTTCTAGTGTCATCCCTAAAGCTCCTTCACTCTCTATTGAATTTCACAGATTTTTTTACTCTATCCCTAACAAATCCTTCTCACAAGTATTCTTGCGGTTTATATAGTTTAGATTGCTTCATTATTACTTCACATGCTAGACAAATTACTTGGCCGGTCCATGCCCTTGTTGGACTCTGCATGCAAATACCATACCTTTGCACCCGAAATCTAGTGATGGAAACACTAATGTACCTTGATGCACTAATTTAAGTTAAAGGAAAAGTCTGTGGTTATGGTGCCAAGTAGTCACACTGTTTTAGTATGGGTCCATCGGCACCACTCCCCACCTCCACAACGAACATCAAAGAGCTGGAACTCCTAAGCTGGATGAAATGCAGGGCAGGGGTAGCTCATTGGCTGACAGTGGCCAGTGGACACTCTCAGACAATGACCTACCCTGCATAACTTCTAGCTTAGGGTCTTCCAGCTCTCTGATGTTAGTAGTGGAGGTGGGGAGTGGTGCCCAGAGGACCCATTCTAAAAATGGTTGTCTACTTTACAGTTCCACAAAACAGGTTAGTGTTTAAACTAAAAGAAATTGGTTTGTTGTATTCCGCGCACGGTAGTGTACTATTGCCTTTCACTTTGTCTTTCTAGTTATATCGATAAATAATTTGACTACCATTTCAAACACACTAATGTGTTACATCTCTGCATTCCCATCATACTTAAATCACGCGTGCCCTCACACTCGACTAATCGTCACACACAGCATTCCCAGTCAGCGACATGCTTTTCCACGCTGCCATAGTTATAACAGACACAGCTGGATATGTTAGATTTAATCTGTTTAGTGCATGTAATTGAAACTGTGCTGTTATATTTTAATGCCATGCTGGTACCCAGGAGCAGAGTGCCCTTAAGCCAATTCAGTTTATGCACCCGGTGCCTGTGCCCCAAACTATGGCCTGTTAACGACCCAGCAATAGCACTGTCTCTCTTTGATTTAAATGCTTAATATAAAAATGTGCAGAATAAGCTCTACTGTTTAGTTCTCCTACTACATGTTTTACAATTGATTATGTTACTCAACAGTATGAAATGTCGTCATGTACCATCCATGCAAAACCAAAATAAAGAATTAAAAAAAAACAAAAAAAAAAAACCTAAAAGAAATTGGTATAGATGAAAATTATTCTTGGGTTGAAATTTGGCTTAAAAATAGAGTGCAGAGAGTACAATAAAGTCATTAATGGTAAATTTCAAGCTGGGCAAAAGTGGTAGGCGGTGTCCCTTACAGTTCTGTTTTGGGACAGCTTCTATTTAACATTTATAAATTATCTTGAAATGGGCATTAAAATTCATGTTTCAGTGTTTGCAGATAACACAAACCTCTGTGAATAAAATGTGAGCAAGATATTACTTTGCTGCAGAGGTATCTAAATAGATTGGGCACTCACATGGCAATTGACATTTCATGTACTTAAATTAATGTTATGCACAAGCAATTTACGCCCTAAATGGAAATCAATGGAAGAGATACTTAAGGTGCGCAAGGATTTAACCACGCTTGAACAATGGGTCGCTGACGTAGAAGCTGAAGGCCAGCTGATGACAACACCTCCAGACCTCTGATGTAGCCACTACGCGACAGGGTTCAGTCCTGCTAGAACTACGGCGGCAGGTCGAGGACCTTGATAACTGGGGCCGACAAAACATCTGCGTCAGAGGCCTCCCTGAAACAGAAGGTGAATCTCTGCATGAAATATTTACACACCGGTTTACACAAATCCTGGGAGAAGAGGCCCCAGTTCAATATTGAAAGGGCACATAGAGCTCTCTGACCTCACAGACAAGATGGCCTAGAGATGTCATCTGTTGCCTCCTATCATTCCAGGTGAAAGAAGCCAATATGCGACCAGCTAGGCCCCAAGCATCAGTCCCCTTGCAAGTGTCCCTCTTCCAAGACCTCTCCGTGCCAACGTTGCTGTGCACGGAGGCCACTCTCCCGACTGCTGCAGGAGTGGAGAATCACATTTAAATGGGGATTCCCTTTCAGCCTACAGGTGAGAAGAGATAACCGGCGGCACTCCCTGCGTTGCCCAAATGATGTCCCTGGCTTAATCAGGGCCATGAACTTACCCACCATGGTGATCCCAAACTGGATCCTTGAAGGCCCCCCCACAAGCCCTGACAACCCCAAGAAACGCACCGGGCGTAGGCCTGCACCAGGTCCCAATGCTCCAGAGGAGTAGAAAACTGCAGGCACCCTCTGCCTTCCAGCCCCAAGTTACTGCATTCTCACACTGGGCCCGCTGACCTCCTGGATGTCTCCCTCCACCGCGGATGCCCGTCTGGGGGTCCGTGACTGTTAGCCTCAGATATCACTGAGCGAGACTCTGAGAACATGATGCCCCTGGGTGCTGGATGGTTGACCCCCCTCACCGTGCCATGCCAATTCTAGAAGGGTGGTCACACAAGGCCCTGTTGGGTGGAGACATAGGACAGCAGGCAAATTACCAGTGCAGTGGGTGGTGGGACCCGGGTTGGGACTTTAATACATGGGGGAACCCATGCCACTTGGAGGGGGGGAGGAAATTGCTCCACTGTCCCAACAGCCAGAACCACCCATGCATTCAACAAGGAACACACTAACGGACCAGGGAAGACAAGTCGCAAAGGACTGGCACCCGGAGAAAATTGATCATGGGGGGGCACTCCCAGGTAATTGGCTGCCGAACCAGACAGAACTTAACTGGAGAGGGTGGGAGTTCTACCACCCCTCCCACCCCCGGGGGACACTTGTGCCAGGGACTCATGGGAGGGGGAGGGGAGCATGGGGAACCTGTGTAGTGTGTAAGCAGGTAAACACCCGCGGGAGCAGGGTGTGGGAACACCAGCTGGGTGTGCAGGTAAGGGGTGGCATGACCCCACTAAGACACTGACCCACCCCGGACTAGCCAGTAGCCCCACAGAGTGAGTGAACAGTGGAGACCCGGTACAAATGGGGGTGGCACACAGGGAGGGTAGACAGCGAACAGGAAGAGATCCGCCCCACAGTGAGCGAGCTAGAGGGAGATGGCATGGTGGGCCTGTTACCCAACAGTTGAAAAATGTTGACCAGTTCAGTTCTTTTACTTAACACGGACTTGAAGCACATGAGGGCATTGGCCAATCTGCACTATACGTTTCATGTCACAAATCTGTACAAAATTAAGTTTTTCTTATAGCTGGGCTAACCCACCTGGGAGTTGTTACCCTGTTAAACGGGTTAGGTGGTAGTGGAGCCTGGTCCTGCTTGTTTGTGTACAATCTATTCTGAGACTTTATAGTTCCTCCAGCAACGGACCCATTGTAAAATTGGGTTCTTGATCGGAGGTGGCGTTGGTTTCCTAAAGGCCCACCCCCCCCATACATCACAGAGATCCAGGGTCAGAGTTGCCCTTAACACCCTCATTTCCTTCACCCCATGCCCCTTTCCCATCCCCCTTCCCTTTTTTTCTTTTCTTTCTTCTCTTCTTCCGATCTCAACTCCTGCCAACACCCCCTGATCCCTCCCAGCACTCCAACCGCCATGGCTGCACCCTTCACCCTTGCCCCCCTAAAGTTCTGGTCCAACAATGTTAGATGCCTTAATATCCCACAGAAATGCATACAAACACTCTGAACACTCTGGTCCAATAGAGTTTCTATCGCACTATTGCAAGAAACACATTTCTGGGAGACTGGGGCCCCAACACTAGGGGACAGAAGATACCCTCTGGGATACTTTGCCAACCACTCCACGGCAAAATGTTTAGGAGTAGCCATCCTATTTGCACACATGATTCCATTTTAGTGCTAGAAAAAAACGCTAGAGAAGGACCCCATGGATAAGTACCTATTTGTTAAAGGAACAATAGCAAACCACACCTACACCTTCACATCCATATACTACCCTAATCGGAAACCTCTTTTCCTTCATAAAACTATATATATCTCCTAGAAAAATTCAGGAAAGGCCTAGTGATACTAGCTTAACATGCCCCTAGACCCCAGACTGGACACTTCTAAAGGCCATTGCACCATTCCCACACACTCTGTCCGGCAAGCTAGGGTAGCTTTAAGCAACGCGGGGCAGGTTGACTTCTGGAGGGTTGCACGCCCCGATGATCGAGACTACACCTGCTACTTCACCCCCACAAACAATACAGCCGGATCGACTACCACTTCATGGCGCAGGAATATCTTGAGCAACTGATCGCCTCAGAGATCAAAACTATTGGCGAATCAGACCACGCCCCGGGTTAAATCCCCTCCGTTTAAACCCCGCAAACTCCAATGGAAACTGAACAAAAATATGCTGAGCAATCCAGAAGACATCGAACAAACAACACAAATGCTCACACAATACTTCGATGAATGAAACACTAGGTATGACCTCATTGACAATATGGGAAGCACACAAATGTATGGTCCGAGGCCATTAAATAGCAGTCGGTACCTGACGCAAAAAGGAAAGGATAGAGTGTACAGGAGCGCTGATATGAGAAATCAAAGTCCACCCACAAACATACTCTGACAGACGTCACCTACTTACGACTGACCAAAGCTCGTCGAGGGCTCAGGGACCTACTCTTCCAAAATCTCTGGCACATACTCTGCAAATCGAAGAGATTTTTCTTCTAAAACTCGAACAAATGCGAGAGACTCTTAGCACAACACCTACAGAGACAACGAAAAACTACACCACATACACAAGCTAAAATGCAGGGACCGGCGGGAGTCTCGGTTCCTAGCCTACCTCCTACAGGTTTTCCACGCATCTATATAACATCACCAATGCAGAACAGGGCTCTAGCCCGCAGTGACACCGGCGCGGAGTCTAAGAGTTCCTCTCCCAGAATGTGGCGTGACAACTGACACCCGAATAGACCGAGGAGCTGGAACAGCCGCTCACAATAAAGGAATTAACACCAGCTCTGAAACTCTCTAACGCCAACAAGGCGCCAGGCTTGGACTTACAGCCAACTACTATCGCAAATTCAAACACATTCTTCTACTTAAATCACTAACGGGCCTAAACACCATCCTCCATGGAGGTGAATTCCCCAGTGACTCCCTGTCAGCGATTGTAACAGTAATACCCAAGGAGGGCAAAGAACCCATCTGCTGCGTGAGCTACCACCTGATCTCTCTCTTAAATGCCAACCTCAAATTGTTCTCCAAAGCAATGGCCCTGAGACTATACAGAGTTCTCCCCACAATGGTGCAGGTGGGCCTCAACCCTGAGCGAGAGGCACAAGATAAGCCCTCAACATCATCCACTCAGCCAGATCAAGAAACCGGATGGCTAATGCTTCTCTCTACGAGCACTGAAAAAGCGTTCGACCGGGTGAACTGGACTTACTTGTTTGCAACTCTGCAGCACATGGGATTTGTCCCACACATGCGAGCATGGATGTCATCACGCTACACGACCACATCAGCACGCATTCGGATCAACGGGGTCCTGTCCCCCCATTCCCTATTAGAAATGTCCCCTCTCCTGTTTGCCTTCTCTCTGGAACCACCTCTGGAGGCGGTCAGAAGGGACGGAGGTCTCAGTGGGTTGCACCTGGGCGACTGCATTAAATATCACACTACCACGATTCCTGGGAGCACACCTACGAGCAAAGTTTCATTTTGCATGGCGAGACACAGAACTCAAGTACTTTGGCATCTACTTCCCTACAGACTTCACACAGTTCTACCAACAAAACTTCCTTCCGATCCTCATCTCACTACAAACGGCTATGAAACAGTGGACCAACCTATAAATCACTTGGTTCGGCCGCATCAATGCAATAAAAATGAACATCCTCCCACATCTCCTATATCTGTTCCAGACTGTCCTCACAAATATCCCAAGAGCATTCTTCCAATCTATAGCTTCGGCCATACAGTTCATATGGAACAAGAATACGGTCCGCATATGGAGGATGCTACTTGACCGCCCCAAAACACAAGGAGGCACTGACCTCCCTTCTGTAATTAATTACTATAGAGCTACAAACCTGCAATGACTAATGTGGCTAATGTGCATGCGCAGCAAAACATTATGCTGGCCAATCAGCATCTACTTGTATCAATGCATCTATAAGGGATGCGGCCACTAGGGTTGTCACTAGGCAACTCTGAAAAGGCAGTGTTTGCATTAAAAAGCCTGCAGGGATAGGCAGTACACACAAAAACAACTAAATCAAGTTGGGACCAATCATATGGTCCCATATCTCTGCGACAGTCTGCATCATTTCCAACACACAAACACCAATAAAGCATTCCTGCGACATCACCCACGCACTGTATGACATTGCAGGGATGATGGAGACCAATCATTGCGGACCTACACATATATAAACTCCCTTCTTTGTCTTGACCTTGGTATCCTATATACTTCATAAGTTCGGATTCCTGATTTTGACCTGATCTTGCTATTTCAGTATTTTCCCTTATTTATTGTGTTATACCTGGCCATTTAAGGTCTGGTTATACTATTTTCTTTACTTTGCCTACCTTGGCTTGACTCAAGCGGTGTGTGTAGTGCCAAGTAATGTTGTGACAGAGATCAATTAAAAAGAGGAAGAAAACCAATTAAAAAGAGAAGAACCGAGTAGAAGAAAGTAAAAAAGCAGTGAGAGACACCAGTATAGAGAGAGGAGGGGAAGTAATGGGAGTGAAAAAAAGTTTAGCTAAAAGCAGTAAAAGAAAGGAGAGACCACAGTGGATACGAACACAATGGAAAAAAAGAGGACAGCAAGAGTTTCTAATTGTAATTGACCAATGGACTGTGGGCAAGAGGCTAATGCACTGTGTATTCGAGAGATAGCTGTGGTCTGAGGGTAAGAGGCATTGAAACTAAATTCAACAGATTAAGGGACCATTATTAAGATACTTTGAGATTGGAGTAATATATTAATATGTGAAAGACCAGTGATCTGAGTATTGTTGTGACACTGTATATTGTGTACATGATCTACAAATATATTATATATCATAAAACCATTGGCTATACTGGCTAGATTAAATTACCATTTATTGCAACAATAAATATATATAACCTATGGTGTAAATAGCTTGGATAAAAAGAAGTTCAAAAATGCAGTATATTATATACTGTGCAGTAAGCAGAAATTCGCCCCTGGTAAGTGTGCCATGGACTATCCAAGCTTGTAGTGGTAAACAACTTTTAGTAGCGTCAAGTAGTGTAGGACTACAATTATTGCCATTCTATATACATCCACGTTACACAGAAAAAAAAAAAAAAAATACTGCTTAGAGGATATGTTAACCATATGTTAACTTGGTATACAGAGAAAATCAGGAATTAACTAGAATTAAATTTTAATTATCAATTTGAACCTAACCGGCACATTTATGCATCTATGTTTACTATATTTATCAGTACAATATCTCCCTTAATGATTGTTAATAGTGTGTAATTATGGTTTGTGTATGTGTTTTAACAGTAGCACAGGAGTTCTGCCAGTAGAGATGCATGGGATTAATTAAGCAGCAACAAGCATTGTTACATGACAGGACCAAATCCAGAACAATAAAACATAATTAAATAGATCTGCGAAGAGTTTTAATAAATGTTAACACCATTGGATTTTCCTTTCAGTCAGATCCACTTTATTTGTGATAGTAAACTATATAACTGATAACTGGTTGAAATAAATATAACTTTAAAGACATTTTTTGTTGCTTAAACAGTTTATAAAATAGTAAAGATATAACTGGTCACTGAGATTATTATGAGTTTAACTCACTGCTTCAATTTTTAAGAAGCTATATCCAGCACCTCATTATTCTAGGAATATATTAATATAGTCATTTTGTTTATATGTAATACAAGGAGTATACAACATTATGAAATTTTAACTATGAAGATTATATATTGGCTTGTCGGTCTTTAGTGTTGCTCATTTTGAAGAGCTAGATTTTTTATAAAAAGGTCCATAAAAGATTCTAGATGTTTTTCTGATCTATAAGCTATAAGTCCACCTTTATTAGACCACCTATCTGCTCCAGTTGATCCTTCCACTTCCATATTGTATAACAGATGGGGCTTCTCAGAAAATTCACTTTTATGCCTTGCATTTTTCAGGCACTTAGAAAGGTCCAGTATGCCTCCTCCAAGAGATCTCAGGATAGCATGAGGAGCACAACAGTCCCACTTGAAGGTGGTGTCTTCAGAAAACACATAGAAATCCACGAGGCCCTGGACCACACAAAGACACTTATAACCAGCTCCTGCTGCAAAGTATAGGTTTTCTTCACATAATGAAGAGAGGGTGCCAAGTATATTCTTTGCTTCAGCTGAACTTGTGACAGCTGAGTAAAGGTTGTTTCTGTTTTCAATACAAGGTGGAGGTCCACTGCTTGGGTTGTCAAGATTATTTACTTTAGAAGAAATCTGTAGTGAACAGATATTTGTATCCATGTAGGACAATCCCCAATAATGTTCACCTTTCCATCTGAGAATATGAATAAATTGTACAGTTATTCAGCAGTCACTATGTAAGAATTTCACAAACAAACACATTAAAATAGACAATATGAATAAGAATCTGATTTGTGATGGAGGCCGTCCAGAACTAGGGTAACCAGGCTCTCGAGAACACTCACAAATTCTCCAAATCTCCAGGCAATCTATGTCAAGCTAGAAGCAGATTGAAGAAGTATGGGAGCTATAGTATAAGAAAATGTGAACAGGAATCTGTTAGCTATCCCTGTAGCAAGATAAAACATTTTTAATAGCTCAGAGAAACAATTGACGGTAAAAACATTTGTATCTCTTGTATTTGGTCTGTGTATATTGTATGGTCTTTCCCCCAAATGTAAAGCAACGATTGCAATGTTGGCAGTTTATAAATGATAATAATAAATCTCGCCTCCTGAAGGAATCACTTTCAATCCTCCTGTTGGACAGTTCGAGGATTAGAATGAAAAACCAAACAATCCATAAAATGGAAGACATTTCAGATCTTTTGATTTTATTTAAGATTGAACATTTATAATTCATTTGCACTACAAAGCATTTGCTGCTGATACAACAGATATGAACATTTTATATTCTATATACGACTCCCGCATTGTTGTCTTTACGTTTTGAATTCCTTACCGGAGTGTTTTAGGATCTCTTGTAGCAAAAGGTTGATTAATTACACCCATTATTGGAAGTCCAGTATCGATTAGGTAGGCTCCAATTAATACGGTCACACATTGAAGTCCTTTAATGAAAATCCCATTATTTGGGGTAATATCAGATGACCCTTTAATGTACTGATATGTTGAGTCTGGAGAGAAAAAGATCAATCATGTCAAATTATCTAACTATGTTTGCAATGCACTGTAAAGAAAAAAAATAGAATTATTTCACAGAATGCTACGGAGACACAAAATAATGGTTTGATAACTATGGCTAGCAGAAAATCTGAATAAATGCCATTACAGTGCAACAACAACTGTGGTGTTCCAGTTCAAGCCTGTCCTCTGACAATGCCAGAGGTAAGAGCTATTTTGTAGTTGAATAAATTTGTAGGGTGATATCGTTACCCAAGACCCCTAAATGATGAACAGAGTACCCACAATAAAGTAAATGTTTATTTTTGCTTGATTTGGTTGGTTGGCAGGCATAAGAGAATGCTTGATATATTTCAGACAAAAGGGGGAATTTGATTTGCTATTACCAGATTGGTCAAGAGACTATTTTGCTGCCTATACAGTCATGAAAAATATTCCTATGCTCACCCTTTTCTGAATCAATCAAAATAAATAGGTCTCTTTACTAGAGAGAGATAGAGAATTATGGGGAATTCAAAGAAAATTGCAAATTTAAGGCTAAATCAGCCTTTCAGAACCTCTTAACATTGGCTACTTCAGTCTTAAATTTGAAATTCACTTAGAATTTCCCCACAATCCTTCGTTTAGTAAGTAGTCTTGAGAGAGGAACATCGTTTGGAGATGGAACTTGATGGCCTTGTGTTTTTATTTTGTTTTATAATTTTACTTTGTTAAACATAATCCATTTAGTTAATAACCATCTAGATTGTAAATTCCAATGGGAAGAGGATTCCAAACACTTTCTGTATTTGTCAAATTTGTGTTGTCGCATATGTATTGTACCTTTGTCTTTTTACTAGTACTAATTGTACCCATGTACTGAACTGCTGTATAATAATAATAATAACAGCAGCAGCAGCAGCCCCAAACTCCGAGCATCTTCCAAAAAAATTCAATAAAGAAAAACTTTCATTGCAAAACAACCCCCTTTCATCTCACCTATGGGATCCACCCACATGGCTATGTTGTCATGTGGAATGTTAATATGTACAGCATCAAGTGCCGGGTCCGACAGTTGCACGTCCTCATGGACAGCCCGTGCCAATGCTTTAGACGCAGCTTCATTGTTATCAAGCACTCTCTGTAAAAGCTTAGCAGTTTCTTTCTCGGTTGCACACACTCGTACGATAATCTTTTCCCCTATAGATAAGGAAAAAATAAAAAGCCACGCTCGCATCTTGAAGCATTTACAATGACTAACAATATATGCAGGAGTCAAAAGTTTCTGAAGCCATCATATAACCAACGCATAATTAATAATTAAGCTTGCGTAAAATAGGAATTTGCAGTATGACCTGGAAATACATGCAATTAATAGAATTCCCAAACTAGAAAATTTGATAAGATGACTGCATTGCTCAGAGAAAGCTTTAACTGCACATTCAGTTCAATAAATGTAAAGCAGGGATTACACGGACTATCACATGTTCTCATATTACTCAGTCTAGCAAACATTTCACATTACAGCAGAAACATTTCCACAATACAGACCACATAATTTCCAACAGTCCTGGATTCAAAAGGACAGTCCTGAATTAATGCCCTGTTTATGTTTGCCTTTCAGACACCAAAGAAATGTTCCTTAGTATAATATTTTATGTTCATAAGTATAGCACAAGCATGGTGGGCTCATTCTGCAGGAATTGAAGCAGGGCATTCTGCCCACATGAGAGTACTCCAACAGTGCTCTGTGCATGGGCAGCCCCTATTTCTTCTCATTTTAAGAGGGCCTGACCCCTCATCACCAACAAAGCCCCCTGCATCTCAATCCCTTATCCTGTATTCATAGCTACCACTGCTGGGATATACATGTAACAACGCAACATTGAAGTGGTCATGGTGCAGTATATCGGTTCCCTTAAAGGACCACTCTAGGCACCCAGACCACTTCAGCTTAATGAAGTGGTCTGGGTGCCTGGTCCAGCTAGGGTTAACCCATTTTTTCATAATTATAGCAGTTTCAGAGAAACTGCTATAATTATGAATGGGTTAAGCCTTCCCCCTAATCCTCTAGTGGCTGTCTCATTGACGGCCACTAGAGGCGCTTGCGTGCTTCTCACTGTGATTTTCACAGTGAGAGCACGCAAGCGTCCATAGGAAAGCATTGTAAATGCTTTCCTATGCGACGGGCTGAATGCGCGCGCAGCTCTTGCCGCGCGTGCGCATTCAGCCGGCGGGGAGGATCGGAGGCGGAGAGGAGGAGGAGAGCTCTCCGCCCAGCGCTGGAAAAAGGTAAGTTATTACCCCTTTCCCCTTTCCAGAGCCGGGCGGGAGGGGGTCCCTGAGGGTGGGGGCACCCTCAGGGCACTATAGTGCCAGGAAAACGAGTATGTTTTCCTGGCACTATAGTGGTCCTTTAACCCTGCAATGTGAAAAATTGCAGTTTTATCACAAATCGTACCAGACAGGGCTGCTTACTTCCACCACTTTTGTTTGTACTGTCCCTTCAACCATTAGCACAAAAAATGTTGCACCGGCCCAAACGTCACAAGAATCACAGACCATAATAAGGAACATAAAATATTATTTGCTAATGATATCATCCTTTCACTGGATTGATCCATTAGTATCATTGCCAAATTTGATCTCTGTTTTTAACAGGAATACTCTAAAATGAGTTGCCCAGTGCTATAATCACAAAGAAAACGTATCTGCTGGTGGCACCTACCTCTGGAACAAGTTCATAAATTATACTTCCCCACATGTTGGTTGTCACGGCAAGGGTGCATAATTCATTGCTGCACTATAGAATATTGCCATATAATGTAATTGCCATATGTCTAGATTCCCTCTTAGATAGGGAATTATTTCCCCTTCGTTAGGGGACCTGCGCTCACCTGCATTTCTTCTTAGCATCATAGCCAGTCTTTTGATTCAACTTGCCTACCGGCACGCAGCCTGGGTAGACAAGGCTGTCCGCACGCACCGAACCCCCCGAAAATGCAGCATCCTCTAGATTGGAAACTAGTATTACTCCATACACCTACATATGTCAATTACCATTAGGCCTGTTAACCAACTCGATGACACCCACTTTGACATAACAAAACTACTGATTACATGGCTTTTGTTAACTTGTTTGCTCTACATTACTTGTGTTCACTCTGTATATCATAGATCTTTGATGAAAAAAAAAAAAAATGTGCACATTGCAAGACATGTCTAAGCTATGTATACCTCATTAACTGACTAATGTACGAATGTCTCTTGTTCCTTTTATAACTCTCATACACACCCAAAATAAAGAATTGAAAAAAAAAATAAAAAAAGATAGGGAGTTCTTTCATATGAATGGTAATTAGCTTTCAAGAAAAAAAACCTGTGTTCCAGTATCATATCCAAAAGAAACATTAATACTTACCCACAGATTAATAATTAAAGGGACACTATAGTTACCAGAACAACTATAGCTTAACGTAGTAGTTCTGGTGAGTATAATCATTGCCTTCAGGCATTTTAATGCAAACACTGCCTTTTCAGAGAAAAGGCAGTGTTTACATTGCTTCTAGGGACACCTTCAAGTGGCCACTCAAGGTGCTTACTGGCTCAGTGCAGCACAGTAGGCAGCAATTCAGCGTCTCCAAGCACTGCATTGGGGACGCTGAATTTTCCTCAGAGATGCACTGATTCAATGCATCTCTAGGATGAGGTGCTGATTGTCCAAAAAAGTATTTGGCCCCGCCCTCTTGCCGATTTTAGCCAATCATTAGATTGGCTAAAAATCGGTAACTGATTATGTCACCAAGGGGCAGGGCCTTAACGGCAGCGCTGGAAATAAGGCGAGTTTTCACCTTTTCTGATGTTGATCTGGAACACAGGTGGAGAGCTTATAGTCTCTAGAGGTACACCTTATCTCCACCTCCAGGCTTTGTAATCCACAGGGTATATATCTAATGATACTGAAATGTGTTCGTACTTGCTTGGGGCCAATATCCAATTTTGAGTGAGTCACCATCTTCCTTGCCAGAGGACCCCTGGGCAGAAGTTTTACTTTGAAAACCTAAGGAGTAAGTGTTTAGGACTTCTGTTATTTTATCCCTTTTTGTTGTTTTTTTTATCTGTTGTTGGTGTAACTAATTTGATTGTCATTATATTTCTGTATGCACTGTGACTAATGTTTGCTCATAATAATTATTTCTTTATTCTGCCTTTGTCTGGTAAAGAATCATATTACCTCAAGAGACTAATTAGTGTTTTGCAATTGCTTAAATATTGTGCCAAGTTGTACTTGATGGGTTTTTATTATTAAGTTACCTGGGGGACCAAGGAACCCCATTTATAAATGGTCTTGGTGGTGGCAGGGTTAAAATAGTAATATTCATATTATTATGGTTAAGTGTGGGTGGTGTTTAGTGGGATTTTATAATTATTTCCGGTCTAGTGCAGACAAATAGTGAACTTTTACCACCACAACTAAGTCATGCACACTCTTGAAGTAGGGTGTGTTTATGACATTTGTGTTGCCTCACAGAGGTTGGATCAATGTCTCATGTGTAACGGGATTTGACTGGTATCGCTCCACTATGGGATTAAACCTTTAAATTGATACATAGACTATGCTCACCATTATCGACTAGAAATATCAAATTAGCGTTGTGGCTACATTTCCCAGAAGAAATACCAGCACCAACCAGGGCACTAGCTATCCACATTCTATTAGCAGCTAGACACCTAATAGCATTACATTCAAAAGAGCATCAGATGCCCAGGACCTTATAAATAAATTAAACCTTAACGATACTTATGAATCTATGGCGAGAATGACACTCAAATGGCGTATAAATGTAGAGGAGACTTGGTCCACATGGAGGTCTCATGTGGAAGGGTTTCAACATCCCTAGGGCAAGGGGATTTTGCGTAAACATAAGGGAGACTCACTGGACATAGAGAGGAGAGTAAAGAGTTACATATTACATTGCTCCCCCCTTCTTACTTTCTGTACCCCTTTATTGAAAAAAATTATTTTTACAAAAATTGAAGAAATGTATGCAAAATAAATAAATGGAATAATATGGTAATTTATAATAATACGCCACTTTACAAGCAGATTTTTCAAAAGCTTGTATAGTATATTACTTACCTAATTCATTTGTAAATTCATTTGATTCTTCTCCTGCAATGTTTTTTTCCAACCCTGGAAACTGAAAAAAATAAAACCATGAATCAAGAGTTAAAATATGTTGCATTGTGAGGCGTAAAAAAAAGCAGGATCTGCCCCTCTAGTGTACAGGGGCTATAGTGTGTGTCCTGAGGATATCCAGACGGGGGTAACCCTTAGTATTAAACAGAAAAAGAAAGTGGTCCTAGGGCTTTCCTTTTCTGTTTATTGTGAGGCGTAATGAAAGAAAATTCATTTTAATATAACAACATAAAAAAAAGAAAGAAAACCCAAAGAACTGGTGAGCGAGGCCCTCTTTGCAAAATGTGCTTTTATAAAGCAACTTAATTATCTCCAGGCACAGAAAACATACATTTTAACAACCTCCTGAAAGTACCCCCAAAACACATGGAAACCCCACAAAAGTCCCCCCTTGAGAGCCCCGATCTGGGGGACCAACATATACAAGAACTACCCAGATCGGTTCAGGGGGTTCAGTATTTTCATGGAGGTCATAATTTGACCTACCGCACACGAGGCTCCTGCCCAAAAGAGTTCCATGAAATCAGGCTGTGCGATCGGTCTCTTTCGGGAGTTCACAATACAGCAATATACCGAACAGAACTGTTCGTACGTGGGCTTGCCTTTTGTCCCTCGTTCAGGAGTTTGTTCCCACCGAACGCCGCTCTTCTCATACGAATCCAGCCGAATATACTTAGTGGTGGAAGTTCCAGCTTTGTTTGCACCGTCGAGTGCCCGATTATAGTTCCATACACTCGACGACCAAACACCGCTGTACGCGTTCACGGGAATAAGATGGCTGCCACCTCGTGTTCATCCATACAAATGGCGGCCACCCTGCCGACTGTTTAGAATATTGCAGTTAACGAGGTCAATAAGGTTAACAAGTGACACACTCCACTTCCATGTGTTCTCTCATTCGGTAGTTTGTTCGGCACACGAACACAGCAAACATAATCCGTTCGGTACATCTCATATACCGAACCTGGTGATTCCAAAAGGCACGAACTGAGCCTTTTCCCAGTCCTGCACCAAGGTCTATTACAGGGGCCATAGCCCTAAGGTAATAGCTAGCGTAAGTTCCTTGATTGGTCATTACTTGGAGATGGAGTTACACTTCTGGCTGCAATGTACCATTTCTCTGCATGTATAGTGTTTCAAATTGAAACACTGCACATGCAGACTGCAATCACCATGGCCACTTGAAAACATTGAAGTGGTCATGGTGCTTGGAGTAACCTTTTAACTTTAAAAAAAACTCATGGATGCGTAAGCTTCTCTGAATAGGTAAGTTTTCAGGGAAGATTAAAGCTGTGGATGATGAGCAAGTGTCTAACAGGGCGTTGTAAAGAATTACAGGAGGTGCAGCACTGGAGCAATCTTAGAGATGGAAATATTAGAAATGGGCAGAATTAAGAGGACATGCGGTCGAGTATTTGGAGATAAAAGCAGTCATAGTCTACTTAGAGCTCAGATTAATTCTCTGAATTTTATTCAAGAGAGAAAGAGAGAAAGAGAGAAAGAGAGAAAGAGAGAAAGAGAGAAAGAGAGAAAGAGAGAAAGAGAGAAAGAGAGAAAGAGAGAAAGAGAGAAAGAGAGAAAGAAAGAAAGAGAGAGAGAGAGAGAGAGAGAGACACACACACAGACACGGGGAGAAGCAGAAGATGAACTATGAGTGAGATAAGAGTATCTATGGATTGAAGAGATAAGGGAAGAGGGAAAGATCTGATGGAACAAAGCTATTTATATTGCTTTATATCAGATTTGTTCCAGCAGTAAACTATGTGCAATGAACCATATTCAGATAATAATTAGCAAAGAAGAACTTCTTAAAGCTTTGTAGCTAGACAAATGCAGGCCATCTAAAAAAGCATAAAATATTTACCAAAACAAGGATTGATGTTCCAATTTACCTTTCTTCCTATGTCATGTTTTATAACTTCCTGGACCAAGACATCCGCAAGCGTTTTGAAATCTGTGAGAAACTTTTTATTCTTTTCCCCTTCTTTTTTTTCTTCAATCAAAAGCTGAAACAGTGTTTCCTCCTGTCGACATGCGCGGGCAATGCACGCAGCTTTCTCTGACGCTCTCAGCAGTTCTTGAAGGATGTTAGACATTTCTGTACACTGCTTGGAAAAAATAAGAACAAAATAACTATTCTATTTCACCAGGTACATTATGTTGCTATGGCTCAGGCCAACCGAGGAGATGGACTCATTATGTTCATTACACCTCATCTATCGCTCTCCAGAACATTTATAAATCATGGCAATATCAGCTAAATATGAATGAATCATGCAAGGCTTTACTCCTAAACAGGCCCTCCTTCACAACTCAGCATCACAACACAGCTTCTCTCCTAAATAGGCCTTCCTTCACAACACAGCTTCACTCCTAAACAGGCTCTCCTCCGCAACACAGCGTCACTCCAAAACAGGCTCTCCTTTAAAATAAATACAGCATCTCTCCTCAACAGACCTTCCTAAACAACACAGCATCACTCCTAAACAGGCCCTCCTTCACAACAAAGCTTTACTCCTAAACAGGCCCTTCTTTACAAGACAGTGTCTCTCCTCAACAGGATCTCTTTCACAAACACAGCTTCTCTCCTAAGTAGGCTCTAATCACAACACAGCTTCACTCCTAAACAGGCCCTAATCACAACACAGCTTCACTCCTAAACAGGCCCTCCTTCACAACACAGCTTCTCTCCTAAACATGCCTTCCTTCAGAACACAACTTCTCTCCTAACCTGGTTTGAATTGTGCTAAATGCATAATTAACGTGATCATTCTCCAACCCCAGCAAAAAATATAAATACTGGATAATAATAATTTTTTTCAATAAGAAGTGATTTAAAAGTTGTTTTGCCTCCAAGTATTTTTTTTTTTTAGTCGGTGCGGCTGTATATGCTAGATGAGCATTTGCAAAATCCATAAAGTTTGTTATATTCATGATTCCATTGTTTTTTTATAATTAGAAACATATGCCATGACTTGGCCTCTCATCCCTGCTTTAGACGTCTGCCAGAATAGCATTGTGTTGTCTACATGGTTCAAGTTGTCTACGTTTCAATTTTTATCAAAAAGTGTCTCTTCCACCCCTCTTTTATATATCAAAATGGCTCATGTGCCATCTAGCAAAAAACAACTTTCGAAATTGCTTATGGAAATGCCGATACCCTAAAAAAAAGTGAGACATGTGGCGGAGTAATACAGTTCTTTAAAGTGATAAAACTTGCAGCAAGGTGTGGTGCGTGTATATAGATTTCAACAGCAATAAAACAGAGGTATATTCTGTACGGATTACAATGCCCCACGATATTGTGTATGAAGGTATATAAATGTATCACAGTAAAGCCGCAAGAAGGATTGAACTATATCAATTTTCCTGAACATGTTTTAAGCCATTCTGTTTTCAAACTACAAAAAATGATGGTTTAATTCAGATGTTTATAAAAAAATAAGGGTATACAACCACACACAAAAACAAAGCACATACTTTTAAAAATATTTTTGGGAAAATTAAAAAAGTTTACAGTGGAATTATTTTTTGTAAAATCCTCCTGGTCATTATTGCTTCAGAATCTGCTCCTGGAAAAGTTGCTGTAACTAAGGTTATCCATCCTGTGCTATGTAGGGTGGGGTTGAAGGGACTCGGGACCAACACCAACAGACCACAGAATCTCCTGCCTCTTTTATGGCTGCCGGTACCATAATTAGTGTGACAGGGTCTCACACAGCACCATAGTCAACGGTCAGCGACTGAATCTTTCAGAGACAGTTTATAGACATTTCTGGGCTTTTGACTAAATACTGTCCATTACAGATCTTTGTATCAACCTTCAAAGCTGCAGATAGAAAAGAGATGTTGAGCCTGTATCCTGCATTAACGAGCTAGTCCAGGCTGGAATTACCACCCTTATTCACTAGGGTCTACTACTGAGCCAGTTGTGGGCAGGATTTTATGTGTGTTTTTAAACAGTTAAAGTAACTTTGGAATAAAGGGGGTTCCCTGGGACGTCTGTTTACTTCAAGGGGTTAAAATGTAAACCATCTGTTAGCTCTTACCATGAACATTAGCTGCAGTTTAGGGCTTAAAACAGCAAGTCTCATATAAAAGGTGCCACTAATCGCCTGATGCTCTCAGCCTATCAGTAGATCCGCATTCACAAAATGGGGTGTGAAACATACATATTTTTCTCACACCATTTTGTGTATGGGGAGCTGCAGATAGGCTTAGTCTGAAGCTTTCCTGTTCCAAGCCTCAGACTGCAGCAGATGTCTGTGGGAAGAGATGACGGGCACCATATTCAAGACTTTGGGATGTCGTTGTTATGGTGCCCAGGGTGTTATTTTAAGCATGTTAACCTCTTTTGGTTATAACATAGTCATATGAATAAGATAATATTATTTATTTATTTTTTTACACCTCCAAGACAGCTATCCTAGTTCCACTATTCTGGCCTATGTTTTGCAATTCAAAAAATCCATGCTTCGTTAAAAAAAACATGCTACTGTTAGAAGGCACGGTCTTTGGATGCTGGGTTTAAACAAAAGTCAAACGGATAACATATGCATGAAAAACTATTTTTTTACCAAATAAAAAAAAATAAAAAAAAAATTTAGGTTTTTGCTTTAGTAGCCTAACAACTAGCTTAATATTGTTTTTTTTCTTTTATAAATACAAATATTTGCATTTGTGTATGTACACGCCTTTAAAACAAAAGATGTTATGCAAGGCGTGCCCAACAGATAGAATGTAGAATTTCATCATGAATGTTGTATCTTGAAAATACCTGTAACCTTACACCCTTTGGACATCTCTGTTTTAGCACCTGTGTGAAGACTAGGGCACTAGTGCACATCTTTTGCACATTTTCTTGATCGTTTTTTGCCATAAAACACATCCTTGCCCCTTCACAAATATAATTTGTCTCCAATCTGGTCAAAGTATAGTGATGTCTCCAAGATTACATGTTCATTTTATTATACATTATACTATGTGTTGAGGCAGAAAATATTGAGAACTGACCCTGTATGTCTCAATGAATAAACAAATAAATACAATCCTAAAGCCTCTAAACTTGTTTTGTCTGGCCCATTTTGTGACTGCTATACAACCACTACATGTTAAAAAAAAAATCGCGAGGGGAAAGAAAACCAGGAAAGATATTTTTACTTTCTTTGAGCATCTCACTTGTACTAAAAACTTGATTCTTTTTTATTAGCCATCCAAAAATTCCCTTTACAATCATCATCACCAAGGCTGTCGGCGGGTACTTGAAAAATAACAACCGTATCGCAGGTCAGTCTAACATTCTCTTGAGAACATGTACAGACCATTCCATTTCAGTAACACATTAACTTGTTATGCCTACAGATCAATTCTATTGTTGGCTGCAGAGTTTATGAGTTCACAGTGTTACCGAAAATATAAGCTACCTGTTCAGCACTAAAGCATGCCTCCTAACTGTCCTGACTTTGTTGAGACAGTAGCGATTTTGGGGTGGTGTCCCGCATCTGGAGAATTTAGGAAACTGTCCCTGGTCAGCACAGTGTGAGTGTATCATTATTTGTGTTCACGCTGTGCAGCAGGCACTAGAACAATGAAGGGAGCGTTTCCTGTATGGTCCTGATAGCTGCGGGCCATCTAGGATGCTTGTCAGGTGGAGGGCGGACCCCTTTTAAGACACCTCCTCTCCCGAACGCCCCGATCCATGATGGGCATTGGTAGTGACATGGTGACGCTTCCCACCAAACTCCGCTTACCTGTCCAGATTTACATATAGGAGAAGTAGCCAAAACAGCAGCATTAATTGGAGATGTTTTCCTGTTTGCCTATTTTGTCCTTTAATTTTAAATTCATTTTGAATTACTGACAATTTTCACTTTAATGAATAACTCTGTGTTTGGGTGGCTAATTGGAAAGTTAGTGTTTTAGTTGTCAGATAATCTTGTTTACCCTTATTAAATATTCATGCTTGATATACCTTGGATACTACCGGTACAGACAGTTTGGTTTTATACACGTTAAAGGACCACTCTAGGCACCCAGACCACTTCAGCTTAATGAGGTGGTCTGGGTGCCTGGTCCAGCTAGGGTTAACTCATTTTTTCATAAACAGCAGTTTCTCTGAAACTGCTATGTTTATCAATGGGTTAAGCCTTCCCCCTAATCCTCTAGTGGCTGTCTCATTGATAGCCACTAGAGGCACTAGCGTCCATAGGAAAGCATTATGAATGCTTTCCTATGTGACCGGCTGAATGCGCGCGCAGCTCTTGCCGCGCGTGCGCATTCAGCCCAGGAGGAGGATCGGAGGAGGAGAGCTCCCGCCCAGCGCTGGAAAAAGGTACGTTTTAACCCCTTTCCTCTCCCCAGGGCCAGGCGGGAGGGGGACCCTGAGGGTGGGGGCACCCTCAGGGCACTATAGTGCCCGGAAAACAAGTACTCCTGGCACTATAGTGGTCCTTTAACAACAGGCTTTAAAGGACCACTCTAGGCACCCAGACCACTTCAGCTTAATGAAGTGGTCTGGGTGCCAGGTCCAGCTAGGGTTAACCCATTTTTTCATAAACATAGCAGTTTCAGAGAAACTGCTATGTTTATGAATGGGTTAAGCCTTCCCCTATTTCCTCTAGCGGCTGTCTTATTGACAGCCGCTAGAGGCGCTTGCGTGCTTCTCACTGTGATTTTCACAGTGAGAGTACGCAAGCGTCCATAGGAAAGCATTATGAATGCTTTCCTATGTGACCGGCTGAATGCGCGCGCAGCTCTTGCCGCGCGTGCGCATTCAGCTGACGGGGAGGAGAGGGGGAGGAGAGGAGGAGGATCGGAGGAGGAGAGCTCTCCACCTAGCGCTGGAAAAAGGTAAGATTTAACCCCTTTCCCCCTTCCAGAGCCTGCAGTGCAGGTCATGCTTGATAAACATGCCAGATGCAGAAACCCTTGTTTTAGCTGAATCACATATTACTTGGTAGACACTGCATGATCTCTGTGCAAAGTATTGTCTCCTCCAATAGAAACAAACAATCTCTCTCACACCTTAGAGATCTGCAATTAGAACCCGACAATATTCATGGGATTGGGTTAAAGGCAAAAATTTCAGCTGTCATTTACCTTACAACCATAAACAGGTAAAACTGTATTCATCCTCTCTAGGCAACCTTTAATAATACATGTAACAGCATGAAAGCTTTCCAAACAGCATGAAAGCTTTTTCCAAATGAGTACATTTGCAATTTGATTTAAATAGGAACTTGCCTATTCTCAAACCAGAATCAACGTAGCATTTTTATTTTTTACATTTACCAGTAGCTGCTGCATTTCCCACCCTAGGCTTATACTCGAGTCAATAAGTTTTTCCAGTGTTTTTGTGGTAAAATTAGGTGCCTTGGCTTATATTCGGGTCGGATTATACTTGAGTATATAAGGTATCAATATCTTATCTTGGTTTTTATTAACTATATTTGTATTTTGTCTGCAAGACTTACTTAACCATAGAAGCCCTTTTCTGTCTGTTTTGTGCTTTTTAGGCTTGTCAACTAAACTATAAATATCACAGAATTTTCTCAAATTAATATTTTAATGGGCATTTGAGGAAAATGCAGTGTCTCCATGCAGAGGGTGGAGACACTTAATATCAGCACTGCCCCAGGAAGCACCTCTAGTAGCCATCTGAGGAGTGGCCAGTGGAGTTATCACTAGGCTGTAATGTAAACACTGCCTTTTCTCTGAAAATACAATGTTTAATGCAAAAAGCCTGAAGGCAATGATTATACTCACCAGAACATATAAAATAAGTTGTTCTGGTGACTATAGTGTCCCTTTAAGCATTATACTCTGGAGCATATAAGAAATAATGTCTTACAACAGAGGTGTCACTCTTTCTGTACCATATTTATTCAGTATTTTAGAAAACAATTGTCAATTTTTGGGATGACAATCTACAACATTTTGATGATACTATTTTGGGGGGAGTTCTAGAGCAGCTTTGAAGTGTTTTATCTTAAAAGGAATATAAATGCTGAAAGTAATTGACATTTATTCAAAACTAATCCTACTGATATTAATAAAATCTAGGAGCCAAACATCTGTTGCATACATTTCTGAAAAGGACACAATGTCAAATTTAAATTCTCATGTGAAAATTTTTTTTTATGTTGACAGCTAATATTTTTCATATTTGAAAGGCTCTGAATGTATACAAATAGCAATGCTATTAAATAGTTATGTAGGCTGAAAAGAGAGTGTCCATCAAGGTCACCATTCTAACATCTGCTTTTACTGTTGACCCAAAAGAAGGCAAAAAAACCCTAAACAACCCCCTCAGACTGATCTCCTGGAGGAAGCGGTAAGAGGACTGACCAGGAGAAGGGACCAGACTGGAAATCCTAGACAGGTACACACATGCTACCACGCAGGACGGACAGACACACACACACCTACACTGTTTTACAAACACCCACATACTGCTACCCACACTGGCACTACTAAACATGCCGCTAGCAATGCTTTTACAAAACACACACTCACAATAAAATGCACTGTGATATAAGCAAACAACGCTACACATGTGCACACACTTCACACACATATTTGTACACAGACACTTTGTATACAACAAAATTAATTATATTTAAACAATACAGGTTTTTTGTTTGAAAGGGTGAGGGGATTGTGGTGCTTGAGAATTCTGTGCCTACAGGTGCTTATGATGTAAATCTGACCATGAGAAGCACCGTATTCAGTGTTTTTCTGTGTGGCAATTGCTGCACATGTGCCCTGTGTCTCCAGTGCTTCTCTAGCTGGCATGGTTCCTGGGTGTGGAAGGAACCATGCCAGCAAGGATTACTTTTGGAGTAACCCTAAGTATACATATAAGTAAACTTGATTTATAAAATTATACAAAGTGGACAGTCGTAATTTACAATCTTATTGTGGTGAATCTACAGGTCTCAATCCAACAGGTTTCCCTACTATAAAACATTTAACCCATTAAAAAAAAAAACCAAAAAACCCCCAATAATTATCTTGATAAATTAGTTTTAAAAAAGTAACCAAAAGGAGGAAATTGTTATAAAAATGACACGTTTTGACAGGGATTGGATTCAAAAACTATGTGTGGTAGTAATGCTCTAAATATGAAAGCTATAGCTTTGATCTGACAGACTATTAGAGCTTTACAGCTTTAAAGGTCAATGGTGTGCTAGCAGTATAAAAGTGGATTTCAATCCAGACAGTTTAAATATTTCAAACAACACCCAGCATGATCTAAAGCAGTATGAACTTATAAGGTTTGCCTTGTGCATAAACAGGATAGTTATCAGAGTCGTCTACAGATTAGCTCCATCACTCAGTCAAAATGCTTACAATGTTTAAAACACTTTTTTTGAAAAATGTGTTATGTTTGAGAAAGAATAATAATTTGAAATAGAAAATGTAGGCACACTTAGTCAAATGCCATAATATATAAGCAAACAAAAATAATACATGAGCAAAAAAGAATATATGAGCAAATGCCATAAGAAAATATAAGTAAAGGGATGCTCCCCTTGATAAAGGCAATTCTGACGAAACGTTGGGGGCATTTTTTATTTTTTTTCTCCCTCTTCTCACTATTTCGGGTTCATTTTCATGGTATGCATGATTTGCTGGGCAGTTCTTTTTCAGGTATCTATAGGATTCTGTATCTGCAATAGTACTATTGTTATTTCTAGCCGTTTACCATGCATATTTGTGATTGTAGTACATTGTGTATATTGTTTGTATGAGTATTGTGACATGAATGCTAAGGTTTTTTTGGAATGCATCTTGGGATACCTGCTTTTTGGACCCAATTAATAAAGTGCTTTTTATTTATATGGTTGTGCTCCTCATTTATTATCTGAGAAAGAAAAATAGTAAGCTTTTTTGATCATGTTCAAGGGAATAAAATAGTTTGGGACTGGGGAAAACCCCCAAAACATTTCCTTCTGATTTTTCGAGACCTTAGATCTACTCTAACCATTGCGGCCAACATTTCTCATACCATGTGAGCTTTTTTTTTTTACATTTCTCATATAGCTTCCTTATGCATCTGCAAGCCTGGGCTGTCTGTATATTAGCATAATGCTTTTGTAACTAAAGCCAACCGCCCAGGGAGCGCCCAAATCTCTGAGTTTACAGATTTATGTAGTTAACGACAATTTTTGGAAAGGGATCAAAATAATGTGTATAGCATTAGCTTAGCAACACAAAAAAAAAACAATACTAGGTCTTCAACTGAAATATAGATTAATTTTGGCAGACACCTTTACTAGACTTTTCCCATTGTCAGAGGACTCTGCACTTATTTTTTCAATGGCTTGATAATGAGCAGAGTGTAGTGGAGTTCTCTAATGGAATGTGAAAAGATAAGACAGCTGGTGAACAGGCACCTAGATGGGTAGCTGTTTCACTTAGTAGAAATGGGGGAAGGAAGAGGAAAGGTTTAGCTAGTTCTGACCTTGTGCAACCCACTAGATATGCCTGTTTGAGTGAAGATTTGACATCACCGATTGGCTGTTGGTGAGATCTGCCTGGGCCTATGACAAATCCAAGGTAAGGGATGCAGAGCCAGTCAGGAGAGGCTTTTGATCTAGTTCGCATAAAACCCCATGGGTACACCTATCACTTATGACTTGTGTGCCAACAGAGAGACATGTGCGTGCAAGCTGTTCAACGTCGCTGTTTTAAGCCTATTCAATGCTTCCCCCATAAGGAAACACTGGGGAACTACTGCGCATGAGTAGCAATGGCTAAGCTGTTCTATTCAGCATTTCTGATCTTGACCAATGCATCTCTTTGGTTAGTGTTTAGCATCTGAAGATGTCAAATATCGGTCCTGCAAAGATCGCAGGACTGCAACAGGAAGCATCTCTAGTGACTGTCAGAGTGACAGCCACTAGAGATGTCTGTAGGGACAAATGTAAACACAGCCTTTATTATGAAATTGTAATGTTTGCAATTGTCTGACTGTATGGCAGACTCTTTGCACCAGAATCACTAAATTAAGTTGTAGTGGTTCTTGAGACGATGTCCCTTTAAAATACCAACAATGATTAAGTGGAAAGTATACACTTATTATGTTTATTGATGATTTTATAACATGACAGGAGGCTTCGTATTTGCTTAAGTCTTTCTTTACTTAAGCTTCACAGCAGCACTTTTTTACTTAGTAACAGGGTAACCAATCAGAAAAAGAGATAACAAGGTATAAGAGTCCCTCCCTGTGATGTCACTTCCTCTTTCTTTGCTGCTTCACACCAGTACAGGTCAGAGTGCCACTGCCTCTTACTTTCTGTGGGTTATTCACTATCCTGTTTATTCTAACTTTTTATTTAATCCTTATTTTTCTCAGCTATGTTTCCCATACTCTAGCTATATACTTATTTTCCTATTTCTGAGGTGTTTGTCCCACCTTAGCTATCTTTCAAAAGTTCTCTCTTAACTTACTCTCTATTACTGCCTATTTTTCTCCGTTGTATCTTTTGTACTGTCCCTTTTGTTCTGTTTCGTTTTTCTATACATTTTTATCGTGTCTCTGACTTTATTGGCCCGGGTTGCGGTCGGCATATTTTGCCCCGTTTTTCCCGGGCTTTTGGGCTGTGGAGTACGCCTCCATCGGCCCTGAGTGCGCACTGCGGCCATCTTGGATCTCGCGCATCGCCGCGAGATCCGAACGGCCGTTTGCACCTTGTGCGCATGCGCGAGATCGCGGCGGCCATTTTGTTGGAGCCGCGATCGGCGACCATTCTAGCCGCACGGCGGCCATTTTAATTGTTAATCGGCAGTACAAAATCTTACAAATTACACATATATAAGTTCACTCACTTATGTTTCTCAGACAATATTTCCCACAGAGCAGAATTTGTGTTTCACAGAGATACTTCTCTCTGTAATTCAGTTCAGGAGAATTTTCGCTTACACTACTCCCCCTGGTGGTGAATTAAAGGTACTACATTACCAATAATATTATGAATGTATATTAAACTATTCATTACTTTTATGTTGGGAGCAACCCCCAATACCAGACAGATAAATATTTATCACATTCATATTGTGATTTTTCTAGGGTAAATCCCTATGTATTTTATGATTGCTGTTATACCATACAGCCCATGACTGGCCCGCTTTGTCTGTGCCACCATACCTCTACACGAGTTAAATAAGCACTCTCTGAGGTTATTGTTTCTGGGTGACCCCCATAACAGCTTGCACTGTTGAAATTAAATATCTTTTGATATACAAGACGGCCCTAAAATACATTCTAATGCTGGCCTATTCTGCCCCATAGGTACCAACAACTGTTACTATGGAGGCTTCAAACCAAGACCAAAATCTGCAAGCGATTATAAACGCGGCTGTTGCCGCTTCACTAGAAAAGACCCTGGCTCGGGTGCTGCCCATTGAGCCCAAAGATACCAAAATTTCTGAGCCCCCGCACTCTGATGAAGAGGCGGATGATTCCGATTCTACTAGAAGGAACCCTTCCAAACTCAATAAACGATATTGGAAAGGGGATGGGCCAGAATCACTCAAACGCAAAGGGAAAGAACCGGCAAAACGCCCAAAACAAGCGGACGCCAAGGAAAAACATTCCATACAGCCTACCTTGTCGAAGGAGGAAGACGACTCTTTCGACTCACACCCATTGGCCATTCTAGATGAATGGCAAGCTGGCCACTCTTCAGAAGACGAAGAAGACTGGCCTGAGGCATCTTTTAGAAAAGCACCTCTCCCTCAAGATATCACGGGAGACCCCACTACGGAGGATTCAGTTCCCGAAACCTTTCTGGATACGCTTGGTGAACCCCTATTTGACCCATGACAGATCAGATATCCTCGATCTTCAGAATGGTCACTCCCAAATCACCTTTCACAATATATCCATTTCTGGATAAGGAGACCCCTAGACCGGGAGGTCCGCAAACGCCTAAGAGCTGAATGCCCTAGACCCACCTTACCGGACAAGGTCGCTATGACCCCAGAGTTTGATTCCCTGCTCTACACATATTTAGCCAGATCTGGCCGTGACCCTAAAAAGGGCATTGAACGCAGCCTACGCCTCACCCAGGACAAGATGTTGGATGTCCTAGGGCCCTTGGCAAGAATCCTTCTACTGGCTGATGAAGCCCTCACTAACGAGGGCCCTTTAGACCCATCTGTGATCAGAGAATGGGCACTACGCTCCATTTGCCTGCTGGGCAATGCAAATACATCCCTCTCTACCGAGCGTAGAAAAGCAGTGCTGCTGCGTATGGATGCCAAACTAGCCGACCTGGGGACCAAAGAGTTGGGCCCCAAGGCCAAGGGTCTATTATTTGGAGAACCCTATATTAAAGAATTACACAAGCATGTAAATCTATACGCCACCCTGAACAAGGCGCAATCATCCATGAGAAGAGTATTCCACCAACAACCCTCTCGGGTTTTTGGCAGGGCTGGCCGTCCAAGGGGTCGTACAGTCAGCCGCTTCTGGCCTACAAGCCAACGCCAACGAACCCCCACTTCACCATTCTTCCCCAACTATCAATCTAGAGGTTTCTACACCCAAAGGTCAGATAGGGGAAGAGGAGGTAGAGCCCGTGGACGCTACAGATACCCAACAGGTGAGATTTCCTACTTTTCACCTCTCTACGGTTTCTCATGCGGGCAGGTTGTTACATTGTGTGGATATGTGGAAGACGCTGTCTTCAGATACATGGGTTCTAAACACGGTTCAGGGTTATTTCATAGAGTTTTATTCTCTCCCTACTCAAACAGGTCCTCCCCATTACCCGATAATGTCAAAATCTCAATGGCTCCTCCTCGATTCAGAACTACGTTCCTTGCTAACAAAAGGAGCGATTCAACCCGCTCCACACGACGAAGGCTTTCTAAGTTCCATATTCCTGGTCAAAAAGAAATCGGGAGAATTCCGCCCGGTAATCAACCTTCGCCAATTGAATACCTTCGTGATATACCGGCATTTCAAAATGGAAGGGATACATCTCCTCAGAGACATTCTCCGACCAGGCGATTGGTTCACCCGACTGGACCTCAAGGATGCTTACCTCTCCGTGCCAGTACATCCATCCAGTCGACGTTTCCTCCGCTTCCCCTGGCACCACCGGATCTTCCAATTCACCTGCCTTCCATTCGGCCTGAGTTCCGCTCCCTGGTGCTTCACCAAACTGCTCAAGCCAGTCACCGCACATCTTCGAGCAAGGGGTTTTCGCTGCTTAATCTACCTCGACGACCTCTTACTACTCTGCGACGACACCTCCAGGCTGCAATCACAGACGAACTACACATCCTCATTGATAGAATCCTTGGGATTCGTCATCAACAAGGACAAATCCTCGCTGACTCCATCCCAAATCATACAGTTTCTCGGCTTCGAGATCGACTCCTCCACCTGTGTTCTCCGCCTGCCTCAATCCAAGTTAACCGCGATCAGGAAGGAACTGCGCAAGACGCTTCGTCAAGTGGATCTACCTCTCCGAGGTTTGGCTCGGATTATAGGCCTGCTTTCTGCCTCCATTCAAGCAATCTACCCAGGTCCCCTCCATTATCGGGCCATGCAACGCTTGAAGGCTCAATTCCTCCAGACCCATCCATCATACGACCAAAGGGTCCCGATCACCACCGAGGTGAGGGAGGAACTCTACTGGTGGCTTCGCCACATGTCTGCCTGGAACGGCAAAGCAATTTTTGGTCCCACTCTGGACTTTGTGGTGGAATCAGACGCGAGCCTCCAAGGCTGGGGCGCAACTTGTCATACAGCTTCCACCGGGGGACCATGGACCGATGCAGAACACTCTCTCCACATCAACTGTCTGGAATTAATCGCAGGATCGTTTGCAATCCGCAGTCTGGCCAATCACCTCTCAGACTGTTGTATTCTCCTCCGAATGAACAATATCTCGGCCGTTCAATACATCAACAAATTGGGCGGGGCCAGATCTCACACCCTGTCCGAGGTGACAAAGGACATCTACAATTTTTGCTTCCAGCGCAACATAACACTCCGGGCAGAATACCTCCCGGGGGAGACGAACACCACCGCGGATTGGTTCTCCCGACATTGGAGAGACGGCAGCGACTGGCGCTTACACAGGTCAGTCTTCCTCCACGTCTCCAAACTCAGGGGCCCGTTTACTCTGGACCTTTTCGCCTCCCGGACGAATTTTCAAGTCCCACACTTCTTCAGCTGGCTACCAGACCCGGAATGTTCGGCAGTAGATGCCTTTCTTCAGAAATGGCCGACGACGGGAGCCTACGCCTTCCCTCCGTTTGCGATGATCCCAAGAACCCTTCTTCAGATTCGCAGACAACAGGTCACACTGATACTACTCACCCCACTCTGGCAGGGCCAAGCATGGTTCCCAGATCTTCTGGACCTCTCCTGCCAACATCCCCTCCTTCTACCTCTATGGCCCAACCTGTTAGAGGACCCTCAAGGAAACCCTCATCCGATGATAATCCAAGGTCATCTCCAATTAGTGGCTTGGACTCTTTCAGGGGATCCTGGAATTTCGGAGAATTATCGCAGAGATCTAAAGAACTTCTCTGGGATTCCTGGGCTCCTGGAACCAGAAGATGCTACCTTTCTTCCTGGAATACTTGGTGCAATTGGTGCATGGAACGGAATACCGATCCCCTTACAGCCCCTAGACAGTTCATACTGAATTTTCTCTCGCACCTATTCGACTTAGGCCGTACATACCGGTCCATCAACGTGGCCCGGTCAGCAATCTCGGCAGCCCATGTCCCTCTACACGGAATTCCAGCGGGCCAGGACCCGCTGGTTTGCAGACTATTGAGGGGCATCAAACTGGCTCGCCCCCCAACACCAAAATACTCCCATCTATGGGATGTTAATGTCATGATTCGTTTCCTTGAAACCTGGCCGAACAACGAAGATCTAACCCTCCGTCAACTCTCTGCAAAATTCACCCTGCTACTCTGCTTAGTATCCTTCCGACGAGTGTCGGATGTTCGAGCATTTGACCATGACGCTATCAATTTTTCCCCCGAAGGTGTCACCTTTTCCGTGTCCAGACGGACAAAATCAAACTCTTCTTCGGTGTTTTACCCTTATTTCCCTAACCATCCAAAATTGTGTGTGGTATCACTTCTCTCTCGTTATTTACTACTCACCTCCTCTCTTCGTTCAACCTCCTCCAGCCAACTATTGATCTCCTACGTCCGACCACATAATCCGGTGTCAACCATAACCCTTGCCCGATGGGTTAGGTGGTTACTCTCCCTTGCTGGGATTGAGGCCTCCTTCGGAGCCCACTCCATCAGGGGAGCGGTGGCATCGGGAGCTTTCAGCGCTGGAGCCTCACTTCGGGACATTCTCCACTCAGCAGACTGGTCCCGGGAACAGACTTTCCGCAACTTCTATTTTCGTCCGGCTGTGCACGCTTCCTTAGCCCTTCTTGGGGAGCGTTAAAACAGCAAATACGAAGCCTCCTGTCATGTTACAAAATTGTAGATTATGCTAACTTTAGTGTACCGATAATCTTAATTTTATTAATGACAGGAGGCGAGTATTTCCCACCCTTCACTCTCGTTCTTTTTCCCCCCCTAAGGTCACCTATCTAGGTAAGTTAATCTAGACTAAATACATACTCTATGTACCTCTACCGTGGGGGGGCTAAGGGTTGATAGTTTACACTTCGTAGGATTTTCTAAATACCGAATGTCATATTTTATAAGTCCAATTCTCGGATTAATCCTTGGTTTCGACTCTGCTTTCTCGTTTCAGCATAAAACCCCTCATGAAGACAAGTTCAGTTGCCGTTCCATCTCAAGCATCACCTCAGCTCTCTAAGAAGACTAAGAATGCTTACGTTCCTGTTCCCTCTCTAGCATTTGCTTTCTCATCTGGCATCCTGAATTCCTCATCCGGTTCAGTTGCAGTTCCTGTTCCTATTTGTTCGCAGCCAGAAAGAGGAAGTGACATCACAGGGAGGGACTCTTATACCTTGTTATCTCTTTTTCTGATTGGTTACCCTGTTACTAAGTAAAAAAGTGCTGCTGTGAAGCTTAAGTAAAGAAAGACTTAAGCAAATACTCGCCTCCTGTCATTAATAAAATTAAGATTATCGGTACACTAAAGTTAGCATAATCTACAATTATAGCGGAAAGTTGGAATACTTATGATAATGCATTTTCTGTATATTGGATTCCACAAAAAATATTGTACAACTGTAGACCAATATGTAAATATCTGGCAATCTCAATCTATAAGCAGTATTCAAATTCTGATAGAGGCATTAACTACTGCATGTCCATCACAATTGAATGGATCTGCTTATTGATAGATGCAAAGACATTTTAAAATGTGTAGTACACTATTTGCTCTTCATAGATACATGAAGCAAATCTTAATCATGCTTCAGTGAAAATTATGCATTATGAGAATTAAAATTACAAGTAATGTTTTTTCACTCAAAGTAAAGAACATGTAGCAATTCATACCAGATGGAGAATATGTCCCAAAAATAACCAGCAAAACCTTTTCATTTAAAGTAAAGCATTGGCTTAGTCAGGACAGTTAGCCACATCTAAATACAGAATTTCATGCTGAACTCCCAAGACACATGCTCTGTTGTGGAATCAACATAATTACATAGAAAGGCATCCAAAAGCACATCTCTGTAGTTCCAAAACTGCTATTACAATACTAAAAATAAAAGTCCCAAGTAAATAAAAAACAAACAATAAAAGACTAAAAGCCATATTTAGCAATACAGAGCTCGAACAATTCTGCTGCGATATGCTACATGTGAAGCAATCGAAATAAACAAACATTCTATTGGTTTCTCTAGTATGATTGAATTTCTCCATGGATTGGTAGAAATCGATTTATTTTTGATAAAATAAAACACGCAAAGGCAAACTGGTGTTCACTTTGCTAGTTTCAGCTAAAAGGCTGGCAGGTGAGCTTACACTTAATGACCACTGCAGTGGTACTAAAAATCTCTGCTATTTAAATGAGCATAGGGATTTGGGATAGTGAGCAGGTAATCACTTTTTGGTTTTCTATATATATTGAATATAATGAATACTGTAGCTTTTGCTGCTACCTAAAACTAGTGGAAGCTTGAGCACAGGGCTCACTGCCATGTTTGTATATGCTATTATACAGCCATGTTATAGAGCTACACACCACCCCATGTAATCCTTAAATTATGTTAAATAAAGTTATCTTCTATCTCTGGGGTATATGGTATAGCCATGTATGTGCTCGTGTGTATTTAAAGACATATTATTTTGTAATCTTGGAAGCTGTACTGGGTGATGGTTACCAGACAATTAACAGGGCAGCAGAACATAGAACTGTCCTATCATATCAAGAACACCTGGGAGGTATGTGCTACTTCTGAAGCTTAATGAAAATACCTAAAGAAACACTCTTACCCCCTTAACTTAAGTTTATTGAATGAACACTATAATGTCAGGAACACAGACCTGTATTCCTGACACTATAGCTTTAAACCTATTATTTAGGAAAACTCTGCGCCACACCATGACAATCACTGAATCAATGGATCACGTTCAGCGTCTGCATGCAGAGCATGGAGATGCTGAATGCAGGTGCTGCACTGAAATAGGAAGCACCTCTATTGGCCGTCTGAAAAGGCAGTGTTTACACTGCAGGGACATGCTACAGACACTACATTAAGCTGTAGTTTTTTTCCATTTAAATAAACTGTTATGGGGCAGGAGTCTAGCATATTCTTGCTTTCAGTGGTTAAACTTTTTGGCATAATTTTAACGCTAAAGTTGGGGCTTCAGCTTTTGGGTTCCCATTCCTCTCTGCAGAGCAGTATGTGGAAGGGTTACTCGGGTGGCAGTGATAGACAGAGCATCAGCATACACTCTCATCCTATCAATGGGAGATCATTGTCAGCTGATGCTCTTAGCTTATCAGTAGACAAAAATAAATCAGGTTCAGGCACTGCGGATATCACAGATGGCAGCTTTATTAGAACAGAAAAAGCATCAGCGTTTCGGCCTGCGCAGAGGCCTTTGTCTTTACTTATTTGTGGCTGCCCAGATAACCCTTTTTCGTACCGCACTGGTGAGAGGAATGGAAGCTGGGATGCAAAAGCACTTGAGCCATGACTTTGGGGTTAAAATGTTGCCAAACGGTTTAACCGCTGAACATTAGAAAGTTCCATGGACATTCTTATCCCCATAAAACTTAACCCTTTAAGGGCACATGACATGTGTGACATGTCATGATTCCCCTTTTATTCCAGAAGTTTGGTCCTTAAGGTGTTAAAGGAACACTGAGCACCAATAGAACTACAGCTTAATGTACTTTACTGACTGAGAAAAGGCAGTGTTAACATTGCTGCCCAATGCCACCTCTAGTGGTTGTCACTCAGATAGCCACTAGTGTGGCTTCCTTGTCCGATCTGCAACCTTTGAGAATTTACGTTTGGTATCTCTGCTGAACGCTCCCTATTAAGTCAATGCATCTAAGATGCTGATTGGCAGTGTGACAGAATGCGCACTAGCCAACCCCCCCTAATGCTTCCCTCTGGGAATGGAGTGGATTGGCTGAGATCATCAGTATTGATGTCAGTGTGTTCCTTGAAGTTGTTATGGGAGTGTCCCTTTAAAGAGTTTTTGTCATGCAAAGATGTAATGTATCATTGCATGTAGAGAATAAAATGGACTCTGTATCTTATGATAGTCAAAATGCAAGTAAGTTAAGGGAACACTATTGTTTCAGGAACACAAACATGTATTCCTGACCCTATAGTGATAAAAAACTAGCATCTAACCCCCCTCCCCCGCCTCCCTAAATATAGTAAAATCTTACTTGTATTCAAGTCTGCAGCTGCTCAATCTGCCTCTGACATCATCAGAAATGGTGGTCTGAGCCAATCACGATGCTTCCCCATAGGATTGTCTGAGACCGTCAAGGAGGCAGCACAAGTCAAAAACAGCCTTGGCCAATCAACATCAATGCATATGCATGAGGAACGTATATAGTGTCTGCATGCAGAGGGTGGAGACACTGAATGTGCAGCACTGCCCGAGGAAGCACCTCTAGTAGCCATCTGAGGAGTGGCCAGTGAAGTTATCACTAGGCTGGGGGGGAGGGGGAGGGACCATGATAGGAAGAGATACTCTAACCAAAATAGTATTTTATTAACACTCTGTTTTTTGTTATTGTTGGTTGAAGTAACCATTTTTGGCCAAAATACTTGAAAAACTGGAAAAGGTCAGCTACTGCAAACGTTAGTTGATATTCAGTTTGAATTCCTAATAATTCCTGATACTGTTTTAAAGGGCACCAAAACAATTTTAGCTTTATAAAACAGCTTTGGTGTACAGATCATGCCCCTGCAGGGTCACTGCTCAATGCTCTCCAACTTAGGAGATCAAAGATCTCCCTCCCCGTGCATTGGAAGGTTTACGCAGCAAGTGGGATGCAGTAAGCCTTCTGACTTCCCCTTCAGAGGCAGGTCCTCTAATTTTTGCGAGCCCCAGGTTAATAAGGCAATGCTCTGACACCACACAGTGCTGGGGTTCGCATGAAAGCCTTCACCTCTGCTGAGTGAAGGCTCGAGTACCTCTACAGGACCACCAGGGAATGCTCAATGCCTCATCCCTGGCCACAAAAAAAAAAAAATAACAAAAAATAAAACCTGCTCCCCTCTCTTATTCTATAACTAACTAACAAAAAAACAAACAAAAAAAAACAAAAAAAAAAAACGCACACACACTAACAGTAACCTTGTACTTCAAACAACTAGTCATATTATTCCCTGGTTTCTTATTAGCTCAGTGGAGCTAAACTCAAGAGGCAGGCAATTGCTCAGAGAACCTGCCTTGAAGTCCCACAAAGCGGGATGGGGAAGAAGGGGGCTTGCAAAGCCAACAGACAAGAGAACTGCAGCTTTTGCAAGCTGTTTTTAGATATAACACCAAAGAAAAAAATGCATAATTAATTGATTTATTTTTTTGGGTCAGTGGAAAGTCCCTTTAAACTATTTTATAGCGAGTCGGATGTGTGTTTTAAAAGTGATTCCAAAGTTCATATTTACTACATAGTGATCATGACTGCAAGCTACATAATATAATACACTTCATATATTTGAGGTTTTTCACTCAAGTAAAAACTGTTGGGATATTAAAGTGAATTCCTAGATGTATGATGTTAAAAATATCTGACTTGGAGAATTTTTCAATTTTTACCCTGACACTATCCTGACATTATCTATGGGAACTTTTTGTGCAGCCTTATTCCAGGGGACTGACTAAAACAGTTCTATAAACAGGGCTGCCACAAAACCTCTACATACTGATGTTCAGCAACTGAAAGCGCCCAAGAGTATACAAAATTTATAAAAAAGCAGTAACTGGATCAATTCAGAATACAACAAACACTGGTAAAGAAGTCTGCCTATATTATTTATAATTCTTTATTTACATCCGATTATTTCATAAAAACAGTTCCACTGATTCAACTAAACCAGGGGTGTCCAAACTTTTTTCAAAGAGGGCCAGATCTGATTAAGTGAACATATGTGAGGGCCAACCATTTTGCCTGACATTCTTTGAACCATTAAAATTTAATGTAAATTAAATTTTTTATGCAAAGTTTATTGCAAATGGCATACTTTTCATTTCATCTCTTTATTCTGTCTCTTCTCTCTCTTTATCATGTCCTTATTCTGTACCTTCCCTTGTTTTTCTATCCCAGCAGGGAGAAGGAACCAAATCCTCAGAATCTCATGACGTCCACGAGATCCCGTGACGTCCAAGAGATCCCGAGAACGCAGACTGAGGTCACTGCACGTCCGTCTGCGTTCTCGCGATCTCTTGGCCCCCAGTGAATCCCTGAGCACTGTTCAGGACCGCGGTGTTCAAAGATCCAGAGATTCCAGGGGTCCTGAGCAACGCTCGGGGCCACAACAAGTAGATTAGCCAGACTACCCGTATTAAAACGGAACGTGGGCCGGACTTTGGACATGACTGAACTAAACTATTCCCATTAATAGAACAAAAAAAAAAACTAAAGTTAGCTAGCTGCACTATGTACATGGCAGCACACAGCATTGGTTAGAGCATTTAAAAGGCAAACACCAATTAATAATTAAGACTATTGCAGCTATCTTTAGCCTAGAGTAAACCTAATACTGAAGATTCTGAGTAAATATAAAACACAGCTATAAATACAAGGGTAGATAGAAATTGATAGGCCTTTTATAAGTTTTTAATGAACACTTTATAGCACCTTATCTCATATAAAGAGAGAATGCTATGCTTTGTACACATAAGGCAATAAAGATAACCAATTGTTTGGAAAGTGTTAAGACCATTTTTTGGGCAACATTTTAAACCGCCTGCATAGAGGCATTCGAATAGTGCACTAGTTTGTGACTGGGTTTTATATAGGACATGGGATGTGTTAATGACAACACTGAAACCCTCAGGGTGTGCACTGACTGAGCTGCACCTCAAAACTGAAGTGTTAACACCTATGACCACTAAATATCTCATTGTTGTAATCACTGATTACCCTTTTTCTCACCAATTTAAAAACTTATCTATAAACACACAAACACCAGCACCACACGCATCTTTCCAAAACACCCCTACTTCATTTTTAAAAATATCCTATATAGCAAAAAGCGGGGTTCGCCATCGGTTGAAAAATCAGGGGTTACGTAACGGAATAGGTTTTAAAAAAAAGGCACAAAGGGCCAGGAACAGGATGCGGTGTTTAATCTTATCCATAAAGTGGTAAGGGGAGACAAAAACATAATTTAAAAATAGATCTATTGTGTATATTTTAAGGAAACAAAATCTTGCAACTCGTCATGTGTAAAGTGAAGGCAAAACATATCCCTTGAGTATCATCAGGGTAGGATTGGAATTACATTTATTTTCTGTTTTTTTTTTCCCATCATCTACTGTTCATTGCAAACCACAACAACACAGATTCTCATTCTCTAAGAGCTCAAGCCCTCTCCCGACAGGAAATTAGATCACGTTAGCAAATAATGTCATTTTTATTACCGCAAATCACAAAACCATGAGCAGTATTAACTACTTAACTGCCATTGAGCTGCTTTGCAACCAGTTAACTCCATAAGTGTTGTCAGACTTGTCTTTAAACAAAAAAATATATATTTTTATCGACTACAAACAAGTTCACATGTACAAAAAAATTCATGCTATAAAATGACCTTACAAAGTCACACTGCTCGTTCTAATCTCCAAACTATATAATCATTGATGTTAAACAAGCATTATAAAGCAATGGGTTTAAAATGTCAGTACCTTGTAGTGATATAGAAGAGTATTCTCTGTCTTGTACTCCTTCCAATGGCTTCCTGTGTGGGTGACAAATTTCCTCTAAACACCAGTCAGTAAAGGAGACCCTCCCCCTGCCTGCAAGCAGAAAACGATCTGTTAAGGCAGAAGAGAGAACACCGGGGTTATATTAGACTCACTAAACAGGTGACAGCAGTAGAGAGATACGTTGAACAGTCAAACAGCAAGGTTATATCTGAGATCACTAAGATTATGTAGTAGTCATACAGCTTGATTCTAGGAGAGATCACAGTGATACAGCATATAGTAATGAGAACACAGGAGAGGGTTATCAATTGACATGGATTTAGGGTAAAAGCAAGACACAGGAGGTGAATCCTGAAATGTTATTAGAGAACACTGCAGTGTTGATTCCATTAGAATGCAGCGATCCTTGGCTTGTAGAAAGTTATATCAGGGATCAGATCATAGAACAGGAAGATCTTAGCCCAAGTAAAGAGATAGATGGATGAACCGATAAGCATGCATACCCGCCTAGTCCTTACTGAGTGAATACTGACGGTCACGGAGAGATGATCTGCTGTGACAGGACAGAAATCACGCCTCCCCGCAACTCTCTAGCTGATGACAGGGCCGTTGATGCTGAGATGTGGTGGGCGAGGCCTGTCTAAGCCTGAAAGGCTGTTTTGGTTTCCAGCTGCAGCTATATTTGCATTCCACAAGGCACTCTGTCCAGTGGTCTGCAGTCTGCCTGATAAGAAAACATTACTGTAAATAGATGTTCCAAAGTTTCCACCTTTAGAAGCATTCCCTCTGACCAAGGTACATAGTGGGTTCCACACCCTGTACAGATATGCAAGGGTAAGCATTCATTACATTCAGTGCACAGAAAGATCTGCTCACTTCAGTTAACCCTTATCTTCCCAGCAGACATGCAAAAAAAAAAAAACCTCCTGCAAATCAATCACCACCAATACACAGTGCACGCCTTGAGAACTGTATTTTAATAATGCAAAGTAACCATTTGAAAACCAAATGTACAGGTTTTGTTTAGCCCTGTCATCTTTACATGGCTGTTTAAGCCCTTAAGGACACATGACGTGACATGTCATGATTCCCTTTTATTCCAGAAGTTTGGTCCTTAAGGAGTTAAAAGTATATGCATGACGTTTGTTTAGTTGATGTGTAGCAACCTGCTTTTTATTCAGTCTTGGAATGAGGAAGTGATACCTAATCATACCAAAGTTTTAGCCTTACACTTTCTGTGTAAGGCAATCTGTAATTCAGATGGGTTTGAATTGCTGCAATACTCTGGGTTTCACTTGGATTTTTAAAGGGTTTACATAGTTACATAGCTGAAAAGAGACTTGCGTCCATCAAATTCAGCCTTCCTCACATATGTTTTAGCTGTTGATCCAAAAGAAGGCAAAAAACCCAGTCTGAAGCGCTTCAAATTTTGCCACAAACTAGGAAAAAAAAATTGCTTCTTGACCCCAAAATAGCAGTCAGATGTCTCCTTGGATCAAGCAGCTATTCCCCCACTAATTAGAAATTATATCCCTGTATGTTATGAACTAATTAAACAAATAAAAGAGAGATCCCTCCCCTAAGTCCTCAGTCTTAGACCCAGCCACAAACAAAAAAGAAGGGCGGGATCGTGGTGCTGCCATGGCCTATATCCAGGAAAAGAAAATATCGGTAAGTATGAATTAATTTTCTATTTCCCGGATATATCCATGGCAGCACTACAGATGGGTAATATCCAAGCTAAAGACAAAAGGGAAGGGGAAAAAGAAAACCAGCCAATATGGAATGCAAAATAACATTTTGTTATAAAGCTGAAGAAAGAATACTTCTACCAAAGGCAGAACTAGAAGGTCTGGCAACATCCAACCGGTAGTGATGAATAAATGTATTAAAGGGCCTCCAGGTTGCTGCTGAACAAATTCGGTCAGGGGAAACGTTAGCTGCAGCTGCCCAAGAGGAGGCTAGAGCTCTAGTGGAGTGAGCACGAAGACCCAATGGGATAGGAACTCCAGACGCCTTGGAGATGTCTGGAAGCCGCTTGTCCCAGCTCGTGACCTGATGGAATAACAAAAAGTCTAGAGGATTTTCTGATTGCAGAAGTACATTGAACGTAAGATGATAAACGCACTAAATACAGGCAATGCCATTTTTCCTCTATTTCTGTTGAAGGATTGGAAAAAAAGGCAGGAAGAACAATATCCTGATTGGTTCTAGTTGAATCCTCTTTAATAGAGGAAACATCTGAGGGGTTGGGGGAAACACATATCCCTGGACATCCCCAGGGCATCCCTGTCTTCCGCCAAAGGGTCGAAGAACAGCGAATAGAAGCTTGTAACTTTGTTGTTCAGGCGAGTCGCCATGAGGTCTACTTGAGGGAGTCCCCAAAGTCGAACGATGCTCTGGAAAACCTCTGAAGAGAGGAACCATTCTTTCGGATCCAAGGATACTCTGCTCAGGATGTCTGCAATTTGATTCATCTCCCCCGGTAGATAAATTGCCTTCAAGCCTTCCAGGTTCTTTTCCCTCCAGGCCATAAGAGGAGAAAGAATCCTTATCAACTGTTTGCTTCTTGTTTCCCCCCCTTGATGATTGAGAAAAGCCACTACCGAAATATTGTCTACCCTGATCTCGACCCATTGTCGATTCGGAGAGGGAAATCGGAGAAGGGCTTGGAATACTGCTTTCATTTCCTGGACATTTAAGGGGAGATGAAATTGACTTTGCCTCCAAAGCCCTTGGATGTGACGAGAATCCAGGTGGGCACCCCAACTGGTCTGACAAGCATCTGTTTTAATTGTTATCCAAGGAATGTGACCCAGAGGGAAACAGGAAAAGATTTTGATTTTTATCCACCAAGCTAGTTCTTTCTTCACCTTGGAGGAAATTAAGATCTTTTGGTTCAGATCTAAGCTATTTTTTGATGAAGTATCTGCCATCCAATTTCACAGCCAGAGAGGGCTTCTAGATGATACAGACAAGGCCATGCCTCTTTAGATGGAACTAACGAGATCTATAGAAGCCTCAGAAGAAATATCGATTGCCAGCCTGAATTTGTTTAGGGAATCCAAAAGCCTGGTTCTACTAACCCCACTTGAGATATCCTCCTCGAGGTCATCTAACCACTGTTCCAAGGCTCGACACAGAAGTAATAGCCACAGCTGGACGGATCCCATAGACAGATGCAATATATGCCTTGGATAGATTAGAATCCATTCTTCTATCCATGGGCTCTCTTAAAGACCCTGCATTATCCACTGGAAGGGTGGTCTTTTTAGCCAGACGCACAATGGCAGCATTCACTTTGGGAGCCATGTCCGATGGGGCAATGTCGCTGGACCTGAACGGGTAGAGTCTTGCAAGACGACCTTGAAAAGAGACCAGTTTTTCAGTCTTTCTCCACTCTTCCTTTATTAAATCATAGATAGCTTCATGGAGGGGAAAGGTGGGGTTTTGCTTTTTTAAGTCAGGAAAATGTTTGTTCAAGGCCGGATCTTCTTCCATCTTATCGCAGAGATCTAGGGTGTCCCAGACAGCTTTGATCAAGGCTTCTATCTTTTTGTTATCCATGAAGGAAGGGGATAAATGAGAGTCCTCATCTTGAGAAGAGAATTCAAGGCAACTCTTCCTCTGAGCTGACTTCTTGAGTCCAATCAGGACTGAAGGATCTGTGCGTTTTCCTTGCTTTCTGTGCCTGTTGTACGCCTTTCCGAGACAGCCTGTCTGATATATGAAAGGACATCCGAATCCGGCTGCTTGTTTGAGACATGCTATGCAAAGTCTTTTCCCAGGAAGAACCTTCTCATCAAAGGTAAAGTAGGAGAAGGAACAGAAATGAGAAGGAAGGGACATCAAGGAGCAGAAAGGGTCAGCAATGAGCTGGGAGGGGCAGAATGAGCACAAATGTAAAGTAGGAGAAGGAGCAGAAATTAGCAGGAAGGGGCAGCAAGGAGCAGGAAGGGTCTACAAGGGGCAGGAAGGGGCAGCAAGGAGCAGGAAGGGTCTACGAGGGGCAGCAAGGGTCTGCAAAGAGCAGAAAGAATCAGAAGGAGCACAAAGGTGAAGTAGGAGAAGGAGCAGAAATGGTCTGCAAGGAGCAGAAAGGGATCAGAAAGAGAAAGGAGCAGAAGGGCACAAAATAAGCATAACATAGCAGAAAGGTAAAGGAGCAGAAGGATTTGTATTTGTTAGAGATCCTTCCTGGGTCATGGCTGCCTAAAATGCATCCAAACATTCAGTATCTCCACCCTCTGCATGCAGACACTGAACTTTCCTCATACAGATTCACTGAGTCAATTCATCTCTAAGAGGAGATGCTGATTGGCCAGGGCTGTGTTTGAATTGTGCTGGCTCTGCCCCTGATCTGCCTCCGTGTCAGTCTCAGCCATTACCTATGGCCGATGCCAAAAATGTAAACAAAAATGTAAATATAAGGAAACACCCAAAGATACTTGGAAAATTGGAACAGTAACAAGAATCTTTTGAAACAACAGTCAGTGTTGACATTCAGTGAACCGAAAACACATTGCATAAATTAGGCAAAATGAAATAAAAAGGTAGCACTCGAGTCAGTGGTGCTGGTATCAGAGAGTTAGCCCTCAGACTTTCAATAAAGAAAATACAACACAAGAAATAAAGATACCGCACTCAAATGGATTTATGTATGCAAAGAAGTATTTTTTTTAATTAGTTCACATAGAAAGAATAAGATCACTGCCCAAAAGTTTTTTTTTTTTTTACAAACTCCTCAGGAATCTAATTCATACGTAAAACATATAAGTACATGTAAGTACTTAACAAAACAATCCTGTCTGCTCAGGAAATAGATCTCTTAACTCACAACTAAAAAAAAAAAAAGACAAAAAATATGTATATCAACGAGTATATAGCATGCATTGAAAGGATCACTATAGTGTCAGGAAAACACACTTGTTTTCTTGATACTATATCATCCTTAAGACCCCCTCACCCTCATGGTCCCCCTCCCTTGGTGCTGAAGGGGTTAAAACCCCTTCAGCCACTTACCTTTATCCAGCGCTGGTGACCTCTCCTCCCCTGCCGACGTCAGCTCCCGAGTGGAGCGGAATGTGCATGCGCGGCAAGAGCCGCGCGCACATTCAAACAGTCCATAGGAAAGCATTTCTCAATGATTTCATATGGATGTTTAGCATCCAGCATCACAGAAGCGCCTCTAGCGGGTGTCAGGAAGACAGCCACTGGAGGTTGGATTAAACTGCTATGTTTTATATCTGAAGGGTTAAAACCTGGGGGACCTGGCACCCAGACCACTTAATTGAGCTGAAGTGGTCTGGGTGACTATAGTATTCCCTTTAATCTTACAAACAAAAAAATAAAAATCCACCAAATGGAAAAGTGTAAGATAGACGATATATGTGGCTCTTGCGTGATTTTAGGCATATAATCCCAACTTGTAATGTGACAAAAAGCAAAAAAGAAAAATATGGAAAAAAAACACACAAACCAAAAAAGAAAAAAAGGCGTTAGCACAGGAGAAAAAGTTGAAAAAAATTGAAAGTAGGAGAAAAAAAAGATGTAGGTGGAAGTGTGAAACAAAAAGGTGTGATACCTTTCTGTGTTCATTTGCATATCAAGCTGTGAATTATGGGAGAATTGTGGAAAATAGCTGAACTCTGACTTGAGATAAGCAGAAAATGTGAAAATTTTTGAATTTGGTTTTTCTAATATTGCTCTTACTACATAATTTTTCAGAACTGATTTTTAAATTTGAGTTTGTCTATGTGATAAATGTACAATTGATGTTTATGATTTATTTTTTTATGCACAATAAAAACTAATTAAACAAACCAAAAATTTTTTTAAGTTTGCCACTTCCTATTCCTTATTTGCCTACTTCAGCATAACTAACCGATTGCATTTAGGATTCAGTATTAACCCCTTAGTGACCAGACCGTTTTTAAATTTTCTTACCGTTAAGGACCAGGGCTCTTTTTACATTTCTGCAGGTTTTGTGTTTAGCTGTAATTTTCCTCTTACTTATTTACTGTACTGTACCAGCTGTCCGGGCCCCACGTGTAGCGGCGGAACTGCCGCTGGTGCTGTTGCACTGGGGCCCGCACGCTGATGGGGCCTATCAGGTGGCCCTATATCTTCAGGGCGGTCAGCGCTGCGGCTGTGTAATAGCGTGACTGGCCCCATTTAAAAAAAAAAAAAGCTGCAGCAAGTGCTGCTGGGAGGAAGTGGTCACTTCCTCCCAGCTCACTCCGCGCGGGAGGAGAGACAGCCCTGCAGTGAAGAGGGAGAGCTGCGCCGACTCCCATTGGCTCCAGCCACCCTCCTGCAAAGAAAAGGTAAGAAACAGGAGGGTGGCTGGAAGATGAGATGTATGTATGTCTGTCTGTATGTCTGTCATTGTGTGTGTGTGTGTGTGTGTGTGTATGTATGTCAGTATGTATGTATGCCAGTATCTATGTATATATGTATGCATGTCATTATGTATGTATGGATAGATGGATGTCTGTCTGTCTGTATGAATGTATGTCATTATGAATGTATGTCTGTGTATGTATGTATGCGTGTATAGATGTCATAGTCTGTATGCCAGTATTAATGTATTGTGATGGGATTCCAGCATGGTCAAAATTTAGTAGGCCAAAATCTCCACATGGCATATGCTAATTAGTATCTGATTACAAACAGTTGGATGAGTCATCAGTATACTGAGCATGTGTGGAAGTGGATAGTAAAATCCTTTGTCTTCAACAAGCCATGTGGTCTGCCATATAAGGTGATCCTGAATATCCTGTGTGCTGATTGGTCTGAGGAATATAGGAGGGGTTATACTGCATGGGAGGGGATATGCTGTTAACAAAAGTCCTGTACACCATGTATTTGTCCCTCAGATCTTTTGGAACAGGAGTTCATCTGAGACCCGATCGGTAATGTGAAAAAAGGCCTCTTACTTCCTGAATACCTGAGTCCATCTCTCTGTGTTTGGCTTCTGCATGCTTACACTGTTACAGTATGTCTGTCTGTATGTCATTATGAATGTATGTCTGTATGTCCTTATGCATGTGTGTCTGTATGTATGTTATTATGTGTCTCAGTCACTATGTATGCCTGTGTGTCTGTATATGTGTATGTCTCAGTATGTGTGTGTCAGTATGTATGCCTGTTTCAGTATGTATCAGTGTTTGTGTGTGTGTGTGTATTCCTGTGGGCAGGATTTGGAGGCGGTCCCTGTGGGCAGGCTTGGAGGCGGGCTCAGTTAGGGGCCCCAAAATTTCTGGTGGCTGCCCTGACTGTACCCACACATATTATATACCGTTTTTCTCGCCATTAAATGGTCTTTCTAAAGATAGCATTATTTTCATTATATCATAGAATTTACTATAACTTTTTTTTATAAAATATGATGAAAAAATTTGAAAAAACTTTTTCAAACTTTGGCCCCCAAAATCTGTTATGCATCTACAACCACCAAAAACCATCCATGCTAAATAGTTTCTAAATTATGTCTTGATTTTAGAAATACCCAATGTTAACATGTTCTTAGCTTTTTTGGGGAAAAAGTTATAGGGCCATAAGTACAAGTAACACTTTGCTATTTCCAAACCATTTTGTTTTCTAAATGAAACAACTTACACTGTCACACTGATATCAGGAATCACTGAATAATCCCTTCACATGTATATATTTTCTTAAAGAAGACAACCTAAGGTATTAAACTTGGGGTATTTTCATGCAACCATTTTACCACCAATCTATGCCAAATAAATAAATAAATAATTGGTGATTTTTTTTGACACACATAGCAATTTAAGAATACATGTACTGAGAACATTAAGGGTTACTGCCAAAGAACACCCCAATATGTGTTTGGCAACATTTCTTGAGTACAGTGATACCACCTATGTATAGGGGTGTCAGGTTCTCAGGGGGCGCATTCCAGTTTTCCGACTAGGAAATTTCAAAGCTGGTCATCATGCACCAATGTCCTATTTAGGCCATTTTTAAAGCCGGACAATTTAATTTACCCCCATCAAGCCATATATTTTCAATATGGGGTATGTCCAGTCTTTTTTAGTAGCTACTTAGTCACAAACACTGGCCAAAGTTAGCATTTACATTTGTTTGTGTGTTAAAAATGCAAAAAACAATTATGAACGCTAACTTTGGCCAGTGTTTGCAACTAAGTGCCTACTTAAAAAGACTGAACATACACCATTTGCAATAACTTGGGTTGCCTTCTTTTGCAAATGGTGAGCCATCATGAGGGTAATTCTCATTTCTGGGCTACCATACACTCTCAAAGGTAACATAACCAATCTGCCAAATTTCTCTGTGAAAAAAATGCCTTTTATTTGGCCCTGTAACTTTCAAAAACCACTATAAAACCTGGGGGTTATACTTGGGAGACTTCGCTGAACACAAATATTAGTGTTTCAAAACAGTAAAACGTATTACAACAATGATATCAGTGAAAGTGCCGGTTGTGTGTGAAAAATGCTGTTTTGAAACACTAATATTTGTGTTCAGCCAAGTAAAACAGTACCCCCCCCATGTACATGTTTTAGGGTGTCTTGGAAAGTTACAGGGTTAAATATAGTGCTAGCAAATTAAATTCTCTGGACTTTTGGCCTGGGTTGTCAGGCAGGTTCCTCAAATTGCAATCAATAAAATTACTTAAAGGGAAACTATAGTCACCTGAACCACTTCAGCTTAATGAGGTTGTTCAGGTGAGAACTATAGCTCCCTGCAGGCCTTCTCATGTAAACACTGTATTTTCTTAGAAAATACAGTGTTTACATTGAAAGCTAGGAACACCTCTAGTTGCAGTCACTCAGACTGCCACCAGAGGGACTTCTGAGTTGATGGATGTGTAATTGGCATCCATCCACTCAGATATTCCGTCAGCAGACAGGGCACTGTGCATGAGCATCCTGTCTCCCTGAGGCTGACAGCAGCTCGTGGGAGTCTGGGAGATAAAATCTGCAACAACAAACAGCGTGGGCTGGCTCGTGCTGACAGACTGAAGGCAGGAGGATGCATAGATCTCCTGACTTCAAACTGTAAGTACACTTATTTTAAAAATTTAGAGTGAGTGTGAGAGGGTGTGTGAGTAAGAGACAGTGAGTGTGAGAGAGACTGAGTGTGAGAGAGACTGTGAGTGTGAGAGAGTGAGAAAGAGAGATAGAAAGAAATAGATAAATATATAGAAATATAGAAAGAAATAGATAGAAAGAGACAGAGATAGATAGAAATAGATAGAGATAATGAAATAGATAGAAAGGAGTAGATAGAGAGAAAGAAATAGATAGAAAGGAGTAGATAGAAAGAAATAGATTAGGGATCGACCGATATTGATTTTTTTTTAGAGCCGATGCCGATAATCTGTGAACTTTCAGGCCGATAGCCGATAACTTGACGATATTTTGTACATAAACTATTTCTAAAGGTAAATGCACAAAATATACATGCCACATGTAGGAGATGCAGTGTGTTTAGACAGGGTAGCTGTGTGTGTTTGTGTAATGTGTGTATAATGGATGCAGTGTGTATTTGTGTAGTGTGTATAGTGAATGCAGTGAGTGTGTAGTGTGTATATATAGTGAATGCAGAGTGTGTGTATAGTGTGCGTAAAGTGAATGCAGTGTGTGTAGTGTATGTATTGTGAATGCTGTGTGCCTGTGTTTGTGTAGTGTATAGTGAATGCAGTGTTTGTGTAGTGTGTGTATATAATGCAGTGTGTGTGTGTGTGTGTTATTTCCATCTAAATAGATAGAAAGAAATAGATAGATAGAAATAGAGTGCTCAGTGTTCATTCATAGGGCAGCATTCAATGCTGCTCTATGAAGAACACGATTGGTGCAGCGCGAAGCCACGCATGCGCACTGGATCGGTCGAGAAGCGCCATAAGAGAAGCGTCTGATTGAGCCCCGCGATTTCGTCATTTTGAGGAAAAAGGGGGCATGGCCTGACGGGGATCTTGGCGCTGGAACGGAGGTAAGTTTATATGCTAAAAAAGACTCAAATTATTTTTAATAACTGGAAGTTCATATAAAAGCAAAAAAGAAGGCTGGGGGACCTGTCTTTCTTGCTTTTATATGTTGACTATAGTGATCCTTTAATTATGTAAAAATATTACATAAATATGCACGTAGAATTTAAATATATATACATATTTGAAGTCTACGTGTAAATTGATGAAATTATTTATGTAATTATGTATATGGACATAGGTATATTTTGTATTATTTTTATTTATATATACATATATATATATAATTTCATTCTAAGTCTATTTTGATATATATATATTATCAAAATACAGTTAGAATAAAATTAAATATATATTTTTTTAAATTATTTTTACTTTATTTACTTTTAATTGATTATTTAATTTGTATTATATATATATATATATATATATATATACACACACACACACATATATATATATATATACACACACACACACACTCACACGTGTGTAATTTTACTCCAAGTGTATCTTTATATTAATATATGTATATATTAATAAAAACAATACACTTAGTATGACATTTTATTTATATATATATATATATATATATACACATACATACATACATACATACACACACATATACATATCTCATATATACATATGTGTGTGTGTATATATATATATATATATATATATATATATTTTTTTTGTGTGTAAGGGGCAAGTAGCCGTATATGGAGTAAGGTTCCAGCATAAGCGTAGGATAGTATAAAGGGAGCAAGTTGGTTGTGGTGTGCCGAGACCGACGATACGGTAGGCCTGTAAATAAAGAGGGCCCATCAAGGAGTAAGAAAGTAAAGTAAATGGAAAGAAAAGAGAAAGTGTTGAAATGAGGAGTGGGTGGGTGGGTCATTCTGATGCTTACTTCAAGCGATATGGAGTCAGGTAAGGGGTGTCCCTTATATAGGGGAGTGAATTAATTTAAGTTCCTCCAACAAATACAGGCCAAACGGCCTTAATACTTGTGTAAGGGGCAAATAGCCGTATATGGAGTAAGGTTCCAGCATAAGCATAGGATAGTATAAAGGGAGCAAGTCGGTTGTGGTGTGCCGAGACCGACGATACGGTAGGCCTGTAAATAAAGAGGGCAAAAATTAATAATCAAAGATTTAATACAGTAAACAAATATATACAAATTAACCAGACATTTCCTTAAATACATTACGGTATTTAATTTCTGGAAGGATTTTGAAGGTAGGAATCTAGGACTGCAACTGGACACCATTTGTTGTTGGTAGGATAGTATGTTATCCCTACTGTTGGTGCATGTTGACTCGTTTCGGAATGTGGTAGAGCCAATAGGTAATGATATGTGTGTTTACATACGTGGGATCGTTTAAGACAATGATCTGTCTGAGTGGTGGTGATGGTAGTGTATTCTCTGGCCTGAGAAAGGCATAGAAGGCAGTGTGCATGGCTGGTAATGGCCAACTTGGTAGTATAATTGAATGGTTGTAGATCTAATAGGTCCGATAAGGATGGAAAAGTTGGATGGCTATTGGTAATCTCTGAGAGGAACGTGGGGGAATGGATTCCTGAAAACCTCTGAGTATATTCTTGTATGGTATGATAGCATGAAGTTTTGGTAGTTTTGGCCATAGGTTATCCTGTGTTGTTGAATGCCTGTAAAATATATAATTAATGGTGTGTGAGATAGTTTTAGTTTAAGGTGGCAAAAAGAAGCAAAACCTAGGAGAAATCTTATGACACAGGTTGAGCTATGTCGTGTTCCAATGAGATTCTTTAAGCAGGTGAAAAGCTGTGTTATGCATTCTACAAGTATGGGACGAAAGTGTTAGGTGGGATAGTGCATGCTATGCTGCATGAGTATGTCTAATCCATGATTTTATCTCTGGAACGAAAGAGTGGCCGTGACTGTATGGGCGGCTGTAGGAAGAGTATGATGAACATGCCTGGAATATAAATGAGACAATTGTCGGCAGGGATGTATACCCCCGTCTGGTACATGAAAGTAAAAGAAATGTGATAAGTGGCCAACCAAGTGAGTTCCCCATAAATATCATGATCGTATGGATGATGTGTGGTGTTTGTTGATGATAAGAAGGCTTAGTTGTCTGAGTAACAAAGGATGATGATCCTGACCATGATTTACCCCATGCCACAACAGCTGCTACAATAGGGTAGATCCCTCAAAGGGGCTGAGGTGGTGGAAAAATTTCCAAACCTCGATGCCATGGCCAACAGCTCCAAAGCCATCGTTCCCGGTAGATCGCTGCCAAACCCGTGGTAGACGCCGCGTCTGACCATCTTGTTGGAGAAGTGTCAGACAATCCTGGAAGGAACATGCTTTTACCATGCCAAGTGGTTAATAGACATGTGCAATTCGTTTCGGGCCAAATATGAATTCGGACGAATTTCGGGAAATTAGACATTCGGGTACTTCTGAATGTCCGAAAAGCCGAATTACCGAGGTTCCAAAATTACCGAATTTCCAAAGTTCCGAAGCACAGTATTGCCCAAGTACTAATATACTTACCCAGTGGAAGAAGAAGAATGTTACACTGTATACTATTTTAAATATAAAGTATACAAACATTCAAGTACTTACAATCCTTGCGGTTGTAAGTACTAAGCAGGAGGTAGTGATTGATGTAGTTGAGAATGTTCCCTATTTGTTTTGTGGTAACTTGTGTGTATGGATACCGACTCAAATCATATGCCCAGTAATGTGATGATAGTGTCTGGGCCTTCTGTTTCTTATGGGGTACTGGGACGCCCAAGTGGTCAACCAGACTAAGCTGCCGTGAGGCTTCTAGTGAAAAATATGTTATCTTTTATCAACAAGAAGTCTTCTAGATAGTGTACGACTGTAAGGCCTCTGGATATGTTATCATAACCAGCACAGAGTATCTGTGAATATCGATAGTAGCTTAATCTGTAACCCGAAAGTTGAGCGGGGAAAGGATTGCCCATTTTATGCCATGTAAGTGCCAGTGTGTGGGGTAGATGGTAGCCGTTTACTGCGTTGATGATATTGGTCTTACTTAACCAAGCTTCAACCCATGCTTGAGTGATAGCTGTAAAGGTAGATCAATGGTGTTGTATAGTAAGGAAACTCCTTGGAGGGTATGAGGGAGTTGAGACTTAGGGTAGCGGAGGTGTGTGGTGCCAATAAGTCTATGGTTAGTCTTTGTTTAAGGGAAGATTTCCTTGTGACAATACCAATGTATTTGTGTTTGGCGCCATGCTGTAAATGGTGGAGATTGGAAAACCCAAGTAAAACCCCTATGAGTGTGTTTACAGCCAATGGTTCTGTTGTGCTGACTGTAAGTGAGGGCATGCTATATTCCTTGAAGGTGTATTTATGATACCTGTATGGGAGCCCTTTGAAGCTCCAGAGCTTTAGTAAATATACTACAAGTCTGGAAGGGTGATGAGTCAGTAGTGTTGAAAATGCATTGGTGTGTACAGATGGTGAGTACGTTTTTTGTAAGTTGTATTAGGACACATGGTTTGTCATGTGCCCTGAACCATTTGAACATATATGCAACAGTCTATATGCAATGCAACTACTCATACCAATTGTCTCTGGTAGTTCAGAGGTGCTGGTACCTGGAGCCTGAGAGTGCTTGTCCGTTTGTTTGGGACAAAATCCCTTTTGTATGGGTACCTGCACAAATAAACATCTCTACATATTCCAAATGCCAACACAACCAAGGGATGATCAGTTCCCGATTTACCTGGAATCCCTGGATTTGACCATCACAGATACATCGTCATATATATATATGCCTTGTTTCCCCAATGTGCTGGGATCATATGTGCAGGGTTAACGTCTTGTGTGTCATAAGAATTGATTGTACCAGGTGACCGAGTTTCGGTTGGTGCTGGTTGTACAGTAGGGTGAGGCCCAGCCTTGTGAGGGCCAGTCTGTTGTAAATTTTTTGGCTCATGAGTTTATGAGTGAGGCTAGCATGGCCTGGGTGTCCCCTGAGTTGGTGTTCCTGGCCTTCTCCTGCCTCTGTGTTGTCCGTTGATGTATGGAGGAGTTTGAATAACTCTGCTTTCCTTGCTGTGGCAGGGTAGGGGGTTTGTTCCCTCCTTAGGTCGGTGGTAATGTGTGGGATCATCCAGGATCTGATTGCTGCTGGACTAGCAACATCTCCTCTGCTTGAAGGTGTATCAATTCTAGCCGGGGTGCTAGGAAGAGGTGATTCTTTACCATCTTTTTGAGAAATACTTAAATAACAAAGATTGGAATTATTATTTGTACCCAGGGGTCTTGTACTGGCTTGCTAGCTAAGCCGTAAGGCGAAACGATTAGGCTTAGTGTTTTTTGGTGACTGGTGAGTTGCCAAGTGGCTTGAGAGGCTCTATCTATGCGTTGGCGCAAGGGGATTTTTTGTGGCCACTGAACGTTGTGGCAGGATGTTGGCCTCTCGGTGACAGTAACCAGAAAATAGGAAGGGGAGTGACAGGTGAGGCCCTCTCTATGATACAATGCGAGGTGGCTAGCTCACGAGTGGCCCGAGGGGTGTATGCCTCCGAGTGTGAGGCGGGGTGTTGGCCTCGTGGAAGCGTAATGCAGAGAAAAAAGGGGGTCATACCTATTGGGCCCTAGAACGCTATTACTATTCCAGGGAAGTTAAGAGATGGATAACTACGTGAGCAGGTGTATGTACCTGGTAGTATGGTATTGAACCTGACAATCCATATAGGTTTTTTTAGTAGTAACTGTAACCTGAATGGATGGCATAGACCAAGCTTATCTTAATACGTACAGTATATGTGAAAAGTAAAGTGCTGTGATGTGTAAATATTAAACATCGTAGCCATACTGTTTAAATATGTATCAATCTTAACCCATTAAGTGCCATATGTACAAGTGAAAAAGTGGTCTGTCCCCACCTTGTACGTTGTATGTCCCCTTGCTAGGGGAAAGTCTGTTGTGTGAGCAGCGTGCTGTGAAAAATGTATGTGAACTAAATTACCAGTTACATATATACAGATGCGTCTGCTACTTTGTAATAATATGTGTATTTATACCAGATGTTGATATACTACTTGCTATGTGAATTGCTGTATGTCTTATTGAATGGTAGGGGTCAGTGAACATGGTGTTGCAAAAAGCAAGTGCACTGGAGATCTGCAGAGTGCCCTATAGGTGGCAGTGTAGTTGGATACTGATTGGTATGTGAAATGTTGTTTGTCTGTTGACCTATAGGGGTCAGTTTTTTGGTGTTTGTAAAACCCCATGAAAATTGTCAATGTACTTGACAGACCTGTAGGTGGCAGTGTTGGTAGAACCACTGTTGGTCTTGATGTGAAATGTAAATTTTACCACATGACAGGAGGCTTCATATTTAGCATTAACTGTCTTTACTAACTCCACAGCAGCAAAAAAAAAAAAACAGTTGAAAGACAGAACCAATAAGCTTGAGTCAGAGAGTATATAAGTTTCGGCCTAGCCAATCATTTCCGCCTTCTTTGCTGCTCCATCACAAGTCAGGTCAGAGTAATACTTCCTTAACTGTTTTTTGTCTGTGTTGGTATGTTTAAGGTATTATCTACATAGTTTGCTTTAACTATTATACAGATACTGGGGGGTGGCAATGGGACACTTATTGGGGGTACCCCTTTAACGGTTTCACCATTCCGGGGATCCCCTGTTTCACCTCAGCGCTACGGATTAGCCTCATCCCCCTTCCCTCCCCTCCCCTCCCCACAATCCTCGAGTGGCTATGTTCGCCACTTTGATGTAGGGCTTACCGCTCTGTTCGTGCACTTCTCCGTGCGAACAGAGCAAGCTGGCCTTAGGTTCGTGCGTGCCCATACAGCAAATACGCGAACGGAGTGAATGCGCTCTGTTCGCGCACACCCGCGAACACTAAATAGCTCAGTGCATTCACTCGAACGGACTGGATTCATATAAAGTAATTCAGTCCGTTCGCGGCTTCTCCTTCAACAGACGTTCGGCTGCTTGCAAACCCGCGAATTGAGCCGTTCGCGAGTTCTATCGAACGCTTGTAGGTTTTCTAAACGTTTGCCTTCGCGGGCTTTTTCTTCCTGTTCACCACGGTGGCCATTTCGTGAGGCTATTGGAGAAGTCCAACTCACATCACCATCAGGCTCATACAAAGAGATCTTTGACTGCTGGAAAAAGTGCCTACAGTTGGAGTGTACAAGGTGGGTGTTATAACCCTAGGGAGTGGGACAGCCAGTAAGGTTTTATACCCAGTAACCTGGCTAGGGGTGAGCCCCCATTTGGGAACGATCCCGCAGTGCTGCCTTACGGAATCTATTCAAGCAGTTCCGACCGACTGGGTGAGCCCCAGTAGTACAGAGTCCGCTTGTCGCACGCCACTGGCGACAATTGTACGGCCATCGGCCTGTCATAATCCCCTCCCACACAATCCAACTCCCACATATCTATTGACAACCCTGTGCCTGTCAGTGCCCTCACTATGGAGGACAATCAGAACAATAACGAGCTCCAGGCCATGATTAATGCGGCAGTGGCCCTCTCATTGGAGAAGGCAATGGCAAAAGTGCTAGCACCGGCCACTGAATCTAACAAGCCGGTTAGTAAACGACCTCGTGATCAAGAAGACTCCGAGGCGTCGGACGACTCCTCTCAAGAGAAACACCGCCTGGCTAAACGCCACTGGAAGGGTGAGGTATCTAAAACAGCCATCAACAAAGGCAAAGTGCTCCTGAAGCGAAGTAAACGTCCTATGGCACCAAAGCCCGCTAAAGACATCTCCTCGGATGAGGAAAAAAAGACATGCCACACTCCCTCTCCATTCTTGATGAATGGCAGGCGGACATCTCCGAATCGGACGAAGGCGATTGGGGCTTTAACGCCTACGTCACGGAGACCTTCCTGGGTGAGCCCCAGGGTAAAGGAGACGAAGAAGCTTCCGCCTCAACCATCACGCAGGATCAAGAGGTGTTTCTAGACACAGGATGTTCGATCCCAGAAATATCCGGCATCCCCGCTCGGAGGAATGGCATCTGAGCACCGCCTCAGGTTTATGCATTTCTGTATCCGCAAGCCCCTAGAGAAGCACGTACGCAAGCGGATGAGAGCGGAATGCCCAAGACCATCGTTACCCGATAAAGTAGCCTTCACACCCGAGTTCGATCAGCTATGCTGACATTCATGGAGCAGGGAGGTCGGGACCCCCACAGAGGGATAGAGAGGAGTCTAAAAGGTGCACAAGACAAGCTCCTGGACACGATGGGGGCCTTGGCCCGTGTAATGTATTTGAAGGACAATGCCTATGCCAGGGCGGACTCTTTTAATGCGGACATGGTAAGAGAGTGGGCACACGACATCCGAGAATGGACCCAGAGCAGCTTCTGTTTTCTCGGGAATACCAATGCGGCCCTCTTCACAGAGCGGCGCCGCGCAGCACTGTTCCGTATAGACCCCAAATTAGCGGATTTAGGGGTAAAAGAAGCCTTCCTCAAAGAGCTCAACAAACATGTCAATGTCTTCACCTCACTAAACCGAGCCCGTTAATCCATGCGCAAGGTATTCCGTGGCAACCTCACGAGAGGTGTTTTTCCCAGGGCTGGTCGGCAACGGGGTCATGCCACCAGCCGATTCTGGCCATCGGGCCTCCGCACAGGACACCTACAACAATTTTACCCGCAACAGGGTTACCAAGACGCAGGCTCTTGACAGAGCTACCCCTACTATCAGAGGGGTACGGACAGAGGACGTGCAGGTCACGGACAAGCCTGCGCAAGACTTCCCATAGGTAAGAAAACAACCCATAACTATGTCCCAACTAACCATGTCTGCAGGCCGTGTTTCTCTTTTTTCCCAGAATTGGGCAAAGCTATCCACAGACGCCTGGGTTCTACAGACAGTCAAAGGGTACCGCATCGAATTACGTACAAACCTGGTACAGGGATGTCCTCCTCACCCATTATACCTCTCAGCCTCAGACGTGCACCTCATAGAAATGGAGCTCCGTGAGCTGCATGCGAAGGGTGCCATACAGCCCGTTCAAGGACAGGGAGGCTTCTTCAGCAATATGTTTCTCGTCCGCAAGAAAACCGGAGACTTCAGACCGGTCATCAATCTCAGAGCATTGAATGCCCACGTGACCTACCACCACTTCAAAATGGAGGGCATACACTTACTAAGGGACCTCCTTCAAGACAAGGACTGGTTTACGCGTCTGGATCTCAAAGACGCATATCTATCAATCCCGATTTACGCGGACAGCCGCCCTCTCCTCCGATTTCTATGGAACGGCGCTCCCTGGCAATTCACTTGCCTCCCCTTCGGACTGAGCTCAGCGCATTGGTGGTTTAAGAAGATGTTGAAACCAATAGTCTCTCATCTCAGGACTCGAGGGATCAGGTGCATCATTTATCTAGACGACATACTCTTGTTCTGCAGGACGAGGGAATTGACGGTCCAACATACAGAATACACAGTACAATTATTGGAATCCCTGGGCTTCATAGTCAACAGAGCAAAATCCGCAATGACACCCACACAAAGCATCCAATTCCTGGGCTTCGAGATAGACTCCAGGTCCTGCACTCTTCATCTCCCGGCTACCAAAGTGACTGCCATCAAGAAGGAAATCTGCAGAGTACTCAAATGCGATTCCATCCCATTCTGACAACTAGCACGGATCGTTGGCCTATTGTCCTCTTCGATACAAGCCATATTTCCAGGCCCCCTGCAACAATTGAAAACCCGGTTCTTACGACAAAACCCTACGTACAACCAACCAGTCCCGCTAACGAGCGAGGTACGTCAGGAACTCGAATGGTGGCTCAATTGTATGCAAGTTTGGAATGGCCGAGCCATCTTTGGCACCCACCCGGACTTCGTGCTGTAATTAGACGCCAGCCGATTGGGATGGGGCGCCACGGACGGGGAAGCATCCACGGGAGGAACATGGACAAACCAAGAACTCTCAATGCAGATCAACTGCCTGGAACTGCTAGCGGGGGTCATTCGCTATACGCAGTCTGGCGAAAGGACAATCCAATTGTTGTATACTTCTTCGGATGGACAACATATTGGCAGTGAGATACATCAACCACCTTGGCGGTACACGCTCCCAAACACTGGTGGAGCTGACGAAGGAAATCTTCGATTACTGTCTCCCACGCACCATTACGATACAAGCAGAATACCTGACACTGGAGAGACGTCAGCGATTGGCAACTGGACCCACGTATATACCCCCTCCTGAACGAACAGATGAGGCCCTTCACACTGGACCTATCTGCCTCCCGCAACAATCACCAAGTGCCACAGTTTTACAGCTGGCTTCCAGACCCGGAATGCCTGGCGGTAGACGCTTTCACCCAACACTGGCCTCCACGAGGAGCTTACGCCTTTCCCCCATTCGCAATGATCGCGAGGGTTCTCCATCACGTTCAACGACGGGGAGTGAGATTAACGCTCCTGACACCCAACTGGCCGAGCCAACTTTGGTTTCCGGATCTGCTCGAACTGGCTTGGCAGGATCCAATCCTACTACTGATCGACTACAACCTACTCAGAAACCCAATGGGGGAGACACACCCGATGCTCCTAGACGGACGCCTATCGCTGATAGCCTGGAATCTTTTAGGGGAGCATGGTGTACCAGAAACCTATCGGCAACAACTTAGGACCTCCTATGGGACTCCAGGGCTCCTGGAACACGAAAGAGTTACTTATCAGCATGGCACTCTTGGACCGATAGGTGCATGGGGCGGAACCTGGATCCCTTTATAGCCCCTGTATCCGATATCATGAACTTCCTATTGAAGATATTCGGGGAAGGGAAATCGTATCGCACCATCAACGTGGTCAGATCCGCCATCTCAGCAGCCCATACACCGTCCCAAGGTAGACCGGTAGGGCAAGATCCCCTGATCTGTCGACTGTTACGCGGCATCAAACTGAGACGACCTCCAGCACCAAAATATCGACACCTATGGGATGTGAATGTGGTGCTCCATTTCCTAAGGGGATGGCCCCCTAACAAACTATTATCATTAAAACAACTGATGGCGAAATTCACCTTCAGTGTTTTACCCATTCTTCACCTCGGATCCTCAATTGTGCGTGGTGAAGACCCTACGAGCTTATGTGGCAGCCACAGAGATACTATTGTATATATCTATATCGTGAGATGTTTTATGGTACTCTTTACCTTTATTTTCTTCCTAATGTGTGAAAGGGACTAACTTTAGATAGTCTGGATAAACTTGTTTAACAGTCAATATTGTCAACATTCACATAAGCATTTATGCCATACGGTCGGTCCCGTATCACTGATACTAGTCTCCTTTCAGCTTAACAAGATACCGAACGTACCGGAATCAGTTAACAAGTTTTAGGTTTCATGAAGACGTTTGGCTATGCTAATGAAGTTTCCACGTTGGACTAGTTGATTCAAGTTGATTCAAGACACATTTGTCATATTATGAACTTGTGATGTCGCACTAGTCAAGAGGAAATGATTGGCTAGACTGGAACTTATTTACTCTCTGACTCAAGCTGATTGGTTCTTTCTTTCAACTGTTTTTTCTTTGCTGCTGTGGAGTTAGTAAAGAAAGTTAATGCAAAATATCCACCACCTGTCATTATTAAAATTAAGATTATTAGTACACTGCGTTAGCATAATCTTCAATTATTGTGAATTAAACCTGAAGTTGAGCCCGTGCAGGAGTTTAATTTATGGTTATGTTTAAAAACAATCTTATGTGTAATTTATATTGGCTGGTAAATTGTATATGACATGTGAAGACTTTGCTGTTGACCAGTAGGGGTCAGAAATGCTGATTGTATGATAAAAATACCCTTTAATCCAAATGCAAGTTTAACGTGAGATTAGTGACCTGTAGGGGTCAGCGTGGTTTATGTGAAACATTGTTTGTGAGCTATGCCCCAGCATTATAGTTGTATGACAGGGAAACGAACAGTGCCCGTTCGACAATATACAATATGTGAACATAATAGCTTATTAACAGTCATTGTAACAAACCAGTGTTCTGTTCGTGGGTTGTAAACGCACGAAACGTGTGTGTAGTACAATAGTAAATGCATGAACTAGTTCCCGTTTGGTAGAAAATTGCACGAACCGTGAGCCTGGTATGTCAGGGAAACAAAACGAAACGAGCAGTGAGATTCGAAATGCCCGCACAGAATTGGCTAGTATGTTTAGGCAATGGAAACGGAATGTGTTCCCGTTCGGGAGTATGCTAATGCTCGAAATGAGCCAGTGACAGATATAAACAAGTGAGTTTAAACGAATGATATGCATGAACATGCAATGGTTTTAGAACAGACTTAGACAAAATGCATCCGTAAAGTGAGGACCTGACCCGTGCATGGTGCCGTGGGACTGATGCCTGGCGTAACGGGTAGGTCGACTTACGGTTTGTGAGTCACTTGGACACCATCCACGGCGAGGGATTGAATAATGAAGGTGGTAGGCCGGAAAAGCCTGTGGCTGGATTCCTGACACAGCTCAGCTTAGAAAACCTCATGGAGTAATCAGGTAAAATGGCATCTGGATGACCCGGAAGTGGAAATCATTCTGATGCTGACCTCAAGCGATATGGAGTCAGGTAAGGGGTGTCCCTTATATAGGGGAGTGAATTAATTTAAGCCCCTCCCACAAATACAGGCCAAAGGCCTTAATACATATATATTTAAATTATTAACTTTTTTTATTTTTTACTTTTTTCCCCAGCAGGGGGACTGCCTGTCAGATGTGACTGCCAGCACTATGGACACATCTGAGAGGGAGGGAAGGGGTTCATTTTTTATTTAATTTTTTTTAAATGTAAGTATTTATTTTATTGAATGCCTCGACCCTGCGGTCCTTAAGTACCGGTTTTTGGCGGACGTACCTGATACGTCCGCGGTCGCGATGGGGTTAAACTTTGCAGTGCTAATTTGTCATTTGTCTCCACAGTCCAAAGTCTTTACCATGGATGTTCTAACAGTATTACTTTTATTATTATTTATAAAGCGTCAACAAATTCTGCAGCAATGTAAATAGGTGGACTACCAGACAAGTATTTGCAACAAGATAAGTTTGACAAGCGAGAACAGAGGGTGCTGAGGACCCTGCTCCAACGAGCTTACATTCTAGGGACATGCAAATTATGGCTGCTAAGTAGTATATTATATATACATATAAATCTTAAAGGGAGTGCTCCTAATCTCAGCTCATTACCTTTATAAAAGACACCTGTCCACAGAAGCAATCAATCAGATTCCAAACTCTCCACCATGGATAAGACCAAAGAGCCAAGGACGTCAGGGACAAGATTGTAGACCTACACAAGGCTGAAATGGGCTACAAGACCATCGCTAAGCAGCTTGGTGAGAAGGTGACAACAGTTGGTGCGATTATTTGCAAATGGAAGAAACTCAAAATTACTGTCAATCTCCCTCGATCTGGTGCTCCATGCAAGATCTTACCTCGTGCAGTTTCAATGATCATGAGAATGGTGAGGAATCAACCCAGAACAACATGGGAGTATCTTGCTAATGATCTCAAGATAGCTAGGACCATAGTCACCAAGAACACAATTGGTAACACACTACGCTGTGAAGCAAAAAGATGGTTCCAGACCAAAAAGGAAAGGAACCGGAAGTGTTGGAATTACCCTTAGGAATAGAGCATATGAAAGATAAGTGGACCATAGATTAGAAATTAAGAACTACACGAGAAATGTACATACTAGAAATAAAAACACACACATAAAAATATATAATTATTAGAATCTATAAAGACAATAACCTCACATAACCAATGCCATTATTTTTTGGAAATTCGATTATTAGATGCTAGGACAAATGTAAGGTGGTATAGTATGTCTACTAAATGTCTAAAATTGGGATTATAATTAGTCACATTTATAATAAGTATTAGATGTAGAAGCCCTTTAGAGGCTGATTGTGTATATAATGATATTGAAACAAGTTTTCTGCTTAAAGGGACACTATAGTCACCAGAACAACTACAGCGTATTGAATTTGTTCTGGTGAGTAGAATCATTACCTTCAGGCTTTTTGCTGTAAACAGTGTCTTTTCAGAGAAAATGCAGTGTTTACATTACAGCCTAGTGATAACTTCACTGGCCACTCCTCAGATGGCTGTTAGAGATCCTTCCTGTGTCATGGCTGCCTAAAATGCATCCAAACATTCAGTGTCTTCACTTATATATATATATGATCTAAGTATATTATTTTATTTTTTTACACTTTATTAACTTTAATGTATTTTATTTCCAGCCAGCAGGGGGACTGTCATTACCAGCAGTCCCCCTGCTGGCAATACAGCAGCCAGCTAACCCGGCTATGTGATTGTGAGGTCCTCGCAAGGACCTCACTCTCACATGGCCGGGGGGGCCGGAGGAGGCAGGATCCGCCGCGGGGGACTCCCTGGGGTCCCAGGTGAGTCTCTCCAACCGCGATTGCCGGCGACTGGGTAAGTAAGAAAAACCAGAGGGCGTACTATTACACCCTGCGGTCGTTTAGAGCCGCTTAGAATAGGGCGTAATAGTACGCCCTCCGGTTTTAAGGGGTCAAGGACTGAGCCAATTGTACAAGTAATCAAAACGTTAACAAAAACTGGAATTTGCGCTATATGTCTGTTTAACCATAATTCACCTCTTTCATATTGAGCGCACCCACACTTATTATATATCATTTTGTTCAGGTAAAACAGGGCTTTAACATGACATGAACTATTCATATATAAAACACAATTTATTATAAATAAAATTTAAAAAAAGTGTGAGAAATTTAAGATTTATTTTAGTTCTGTGTGGTATTTTAACTTTGAATGTCATAATACTGTAAGTTTTTACTGCAATAAAATGCAGGCATTTGTATTCAGCAATGTCTCACAAGTACAACAGTACCTCCCATGTACAGGTTTTATGCTGTTTTGGAAAGTTACAGGGTCAAATATAGCTTGCTTAATTTTTCAGTTTATACACATTGAAATTTGCCAGACTGGTTATGTTGCCTTTGATACTGCATCATAGACCAGGAATTATAATTACACCATGATGATTGCATACCATTTGCAAAAGTAGACAACCCAGGGCATTAAATGTGGGGTATGTCCAGTCTTTTTTAGTAGTCACAAACACTGGTCAAAGTTAGCGTTTATATTTGTTTGTGTGTGAAAAATGCAAAAACCAAATATGAACGCTAACTTTGCCAGTGTTTGCGACTAAGTGCCTATTAAAAAAGACTGGATATACCCCATTTGCAATACAATGGGTTGTCTACTTTAGCAAATGCTATGCAATCACGGGGAGATTTCTCATTCCTGGCCTACCATATGGTCTCAAAGGCAACATAACCAATCTGGCAAATGTCTATGAAAAAAATGATATGGGCAACCCTTTTATTTAACCCTGTAACTTTCAAAAACACTATAAAACCTGTACATGGGAGGTACTGTTAACCTCAGGACACTTCGCTGAACACAAATATTAGTGTTTCAAAACAGTAAAACGTATCACAACAATATCATCAGTGAAAGTGCCGTTTGCGTGTGAAAAATGCAAAAAAAAGTCACTTTCACTGACAATATCATAGTTGTGATCTGTTTTTAAATATTAAATACTAATATTTGTATTCAGTGAAGTCACCCACATAAAACAGTACCCTTCATGTACAGGTTTTATGGCGTCTTGGAAAGTTACAGAGTTATATATAATGCTAGCAAATTAAATTCTCTGGACTTTTGGCATGGGTTGTCAGGCATGTCCCTCAAATTGCAATCAATAAAATTACTTAATTATTGTAAAAATATTATATAAATATGCACGTAGAATTGAGTGCAGGAGTTGTTCGCCTAGCTGTAGCTGCGTTCAGCGCCTTCTCCGAAATCCTGGCCCAGAAGGCAGCAAGAATTTAATCCAGCTTAGTCAGAGTGTCGTTTAACCGCTCTCCACTTGTCCCCACGCTTGCCGACTGTCAGGTGGCATCCGCAATTTTAGAGTGAGTGACTCCCAATGCATGCAGTCTCTGGGACGTGATTGTTAGTGGTGGGTATGCTGTTAGTGCCGGCCCTACTACAGGGCTGTATTCCTGACCCTATAGTGCTCCTTTGATGTGCTTCTTCTTGAGCCACTCCTTTGTTGCCTTGGCTGTGTGTTTTTGGTCATTGTCATGCTGGAATACCCATCCACGACCCATTTTCAACGCCCTGGCTGAGAGAAGGAGGTTCTCACCCAAGATTTGATGGTGCATGGCCCCGTCCATCGTCCCTTTGATCTGGTGCAGTTGTCCTGTCCCCTTAGCAGAAAAACACCCCCAAAGCATAATGTTTCCACCTCCATGTTTGATGGTGTTCTTGGTGTCATAGGCAGCATTTCTCCTCCTCCAAACACGGTGAGTTAAGTTGATGCGAAAGAGCTCAATTTTGGTCTCATCTGACCAAAACACTTTCACCTAGTTCTCCTCTGAATCATTTAGATGTTCATTTGCAAACTTCAGACATGTGCTTTCTTGAGCAAGGGGACCTGGCGGGTGCTGCAGGATTTCAGTCCTTCACGGCGTAGTGTGTTACCAATTGTTTTCTTGGTGACTATGGTCCCACCCCCAGATGAAGGCACATTACTGTGGCACCAAAACATGCGTCGGGCGTTTTTACGCTTCTTTTTAATTTGTTATTTTTCTTAATTTTTTTGAGCTTCTATTATATGCACAAAGTTATGAGAGTATTTTATTTAGTTTAGTATAGAATCTTAATTGTGATCTAAGTATATATATATATATATATATATATATATATATATATATACACATATATACATACACACACATACACTGTCTAGGTGTATTTTACTAATAATATATATATATTAATATCAAATTACACGTAGACTGATACTGATTAAATATAATTATTGTTATATATTTATATATAATATAAAAATTTTTAAATATGTTAAAAAATAAAATTAATAACTGCGTACCCTCCCCCTTTTCCTTTCTGTACCCCCCAACTGTGTTCTTTGATAAAATTAAAATTGTCAAATTGAAAAAAAATATATAAAATTAAAAAAATAATTAAAAATAATTAAAAAATATATAGATGTGTGTTATTTCGTTCTAACTGTATTGTGATATTAATATATATATATATTTATATCAAAATACACGTAGAACGAAATAATATATATAATCTATATACATAAATATAAACGTATGTATCACTATATGTATACCTATATATAAATAAAAATATTTAAAAAAATTATATACATATATATACACACACATATGTATATATATATACACATATATTAATTCTACATATAGATTTATGTAATATTTTTACATAATTAGTTATTTTAATTAATTACAATTAGCGGGACCTGCTTGACAACCCATGCCGAAAGTATAGAGAATTTAATTTGCTAGCACTATATTTAACCCTATAACTTTCCAAGACACCATAAAACCTGTACATGGGGGGTACTGTTTTACTCAGGAGACTTAGCTGAACACAAATATTAGTGTTTCAAAACAGTAAAATGTATTACAACGATGATATCGCCAGTAAAAGTGACTTTTTTGCATTTTTCACACACAAACAGCACTTACACAGAAGATATTATTGCTGTGATACTTCTTACTGTTTTGAAACACAAATATTTGTGTTCAGCGAAGTCTCCCGAGTACAACAGTACCCCTCATGTACAGGTTTCATGGTGTTTTCAAAAGTTACAGCGTCAAATATAAGACTTGTGTTTCATTTTTCTCACATTAAAATTTGCCAGATTGGTTACATTGCATTTGAGACCCTATGGTAGCCCAAGAATGAAAATTACCCCTATGATGGCATACTATTTAGAATAGTAGACAACCCAAGGTATTGCAAATGGGGTATGTCCAGTCTTTTTTAGTAGCCACTTAGTCACAAACACTGGCCAAAATTGGCGTTTTCTGCATTTTTCACACACAAACAAATATTAACGCTAACTTTGGCCAGTGTTTGTGACCAAATGGCTACTAAAAAAGACTGGACATACCTCATTTGCAATACCTTGGGTTGTCTACTATTGCAAATGGTATGCCATTATGGGTGTAAATTTTATTCCTGGGCTACTATACAGTCTCAAAGGCAACGTAAGCAATCTGGCGAATTTCAATTTCAAATGTAACGTGCTATATTTGACTCTGTAACTTCCCAAAACACCATAAAACCTGTACATAGGGGGTACTGTTTTACATGTGAGACTTTGCTGAATACAAATATGTGTATTTTGTTGCAGTAAAAGCAAACAGTATTATGACATTGGCAGTTAAAATGTCATGTAGAATTAAAAAATAATTTCTTATTTTCTCCCATTTTTTCATATTAAATTATGTTTCATAGCTAAATATTTGATATTAAATGAAAGCCCTGTTTCCCCTGAATAAAATGATATATAATAAGGGTGGGTGCATTTAATATGAAAGAGGTGAATTACGGTTCGAAAGACATGTAGCGCAAATGCCAGGTTTTGTTTACATTTTGTTTTGTTCACATGTACATTTGGCTCAGTCCTTAAGGGGTTAAGGGTTAACCCAGGCTTCCCCAAACTCTAGCCCTCCAGATGTTGCTGAACTACAACTCCCATGATTCTCAGCCTATTTCATTCATCGCATCATGGGAGTTGTAGTTCAGCAACATCTGGAGGGCTGGAGTTTGGGAAGCCTGGCGTTAACAGCATCTTCATGGCATGGTTTTATTTTTTTCAGGTTTTATCTTCATACATTTTGGCCATAACAAATAAATAAACAAGTGGTGAATTAAAGAGCAATAGGAAGCATCTTTAACTGTTTTCTTGGCTATTGCACCAGAATCTAGTACATAATGCAGTGTTAATGGATTTCTAATGGTTATTTCCCTAAAAATGTAAGAAGTGCCACATTTAAGTCATGTTCTAGTGAAGCACTTGCAAATATGAGGTAAATTGGTATTTTACCATTCACACCTGTAGCTTTACATCAGGAAAACCAACATTTTAAAAGGACATTATTCATAATGTCATTTTCCAAATAATGTGGACATAGCAGCACATGACAAAGTGAATAAAATACGTTAAACAGATAATTGTGGAGGAACAACATAGCTTTTCACTGCCGTAGCTATACTAACCGATCACATGCACTTACTGTAACGTGTCAATAAAGCTTTACAATTTCAAACACGAAAACATTCCGCCCAGCTGTAGTGCCCTTGTCAGTGAGGGCAAAGAAGCCGTTTCGTCATTAACGTGCGCCTGGTTAGTTCCTGTTAGAGGTGCTTGCTTGTGTCAATGTCAGCTATTGGCATTTAGGCATAGGTTACAGAGAAATCCCATACCCTGCAAAACTATGAGTGCATCTGTTCTAGCAGCACAGCTCAGGTATGTTGATGCATAGCATATTTCATGCAGACAGGACTGCTTTATATTAATGTTAGATGTCATGTACATTAAAATCATGAGTTACACATCTGGTTGCAGTTGTGAGAGAGGTGTTTGATATTTACCTGTCTTTTTGTCCATATCTCTAATTTTACCCAGAGATTTATCAGAAGATGCTATTTTAGAGAGGAGACCAGAAATAATTATATTTGCATTCTCCAGCAAATCTTTTTCATTGAAAATGTGCACCTTATAAACAAATAGTAGAGATGCAGGAAAAACTACAAAGGACAGCTACTGTTTGTTTTAATGTATACTAAATCACAACAAGTATGTAATTACTAGATCATCATACCCCACAATGTCTTATTGATACAAATATTCAAATCCCGTATAATCTGTGTTATTTAAAAGCATAATTCAGTGCATTCTGTATCCCAATGTATTTAATAGTACCCCTATAAGGACCGCTGCTCTAGATGTTAAATTTCTTCAGTTTATGAGACTGGTTGGTGGGTATTGGAAATACAGTTTAAAACAGCTGAAGGTTGTAGTAGTGCTGAATTAGGTTATTTATATGGCAGTTGTACCAATTATGTTAAAATATATATTTAAACACACAGTTGGCAGCAGCATGGAGGTGTGAAAGATTCAACTTGTGTCCCCCCAATCAAATAAAATAATAGTTTCATTTCATTCACTTCTGAGAGCAGGGTTTGACAAATTTTGCTTGGATTCCCCGAGCCAGCTAAAAAAAGTTAGAAGCCAGTTTTTCCAACAGAAAAAATAAAATTCTGAGAGGAACACTATAATCACCAAAACCACTACAGCATAATGTAGTGGCTCTGGAGTCTATAGCCTGCCCCTGTAGGCATTTCAATGTAAACATTGTTTACATTGCTGCCTAGTAACATCTCTAGTGGCAGTCACTCATACAGCCAAAAGTGTCTCTAATCTCTGTGCTGCACAATTTGTAGTGCCTACATTCAGCGTCTCCAAGGGGGCACTGAACGTTCCCCATAGAGATACATTGATTTAATGCATCTTTATGAGGAGATGCTGATTGTGTGCAGAATTCGCTGCGCTTGTTCAATAGCTTCCCAATTCTCACACACTCATTGGATTGGCTGAGATCATCAAGAATTATAATCTCAGCTATGGAGACTGGCCAGCCGCAGAGAGACTGGTACGGTGTTGGAAAAGAGGTTAGTAAAACACAATTCCCATACACATTCACTGACCGACACACACACACACACACACACACACACACACACACACATATTCTCACACACTCAAGATATTTTTTTTTATTGTTTGATACACTCAAATAGATACACACAAAGATTTATAAATACACACACGACATATATACACACTGTCACAGATACACACAAAAAAAAAACCATATTTCTAGCCACCCTCCTGTTTCCTACCTTTATGGGCACAGGAGGGTGGCTTCCCTGGGGTCCAGGGGCACTGGGCAGCAGCAGGTGACAGTGGGGCTTACTGAGGCTGATAGGAGTGGGCTGCCGTTTGTCCAGACTCCCCCTCCTCCTATATATATTGTGCAGCTCTCTGTTTGCTGGGAAGAAGTGAAGGGAACGCACGGGAATGACCCGGGGTGGGGGGGGGACAGACGGCTCTGCGGAATGGTGGCAGGCAGCGAGCAGAGCCGTCTTTACCTGGTGTCCTATCAGCTTTCCATTATCCTGTGTGGCCTCAGTACAATTACATTTCCCTTCACTTCCTTCACAGAGAGCTGCACGATAGAGAGGTGCCAGGACAAAATTGTTAGTCGCCATGGCGACCTGGCACCTGGGATTTGTCGAGCCCTGTCTGAGAGGATATTGTCAATACATTTTCAGCTTTAGAAAGACAGCCAGATCAAAAAAAGATTCCAGATTTCTTAGAAAAGCTATGAATTGCAATGGATATAGATGTTTCCAAATACAACATAAATATAGAAAGACGTCTATATAAACCAAAAGCAATGGCAGATAATTATCCAAGAGATATTAAAATTAATTTCCAGCCTTTTCAATTTAAAGAAATTATGCGTGCTAGCCGATCTAAGATTATCAAAGAAGATGAATTTAAACATGTTATCATTTATCAAGTCCTGTCTTTTTATACCAGATCACAGCAAAAGAGATTTGCTCTTGCAACAAATATTCTGCGCAAGCATAACATAAAATATTCATGGGGCTATGCAAATAAACTCAAGATTATAACTGATGGAAATGGTTGAAATTAAGAAACAAACAGCGAGATTCCTGCTTAACCCCTTCAGGACCGGACTGTTTTTGCGATATTTGTGCGTTAACCCCTTAAGGACTGAGACAAATGTACACGTTGTGAACAAAACAAAATGTAAACAAAACCTGGCATTTGCGCTACATGTCTTTCGAACCGTAATTCACCTCTTTCATATTAAATGCACCCACCCTTATTATATATCATTTTATTCAGGGGAAACAGGGCTTTCATTTAATATAAAATATTTAGCTATGAAACAATTTAATATGAAAAAAATGGGAGAAATACGATTTTTTTTATTTTTTTAGTTCTACATGACATTTTAACTGTCAGTGTCATAATACTGTTTGCTTTTACTACAATAAAATACACATATTTGTATTCAGCAAAGTCTCACGTGTAAAACAGTACCCCCTATGTACAGGTTTTGGGAAGTTACAGAGTCAAATATAGCACGTTACATTTGAAATTGAAATTTTCCAGATTGGTTACGTTGCCTTTGAGACTGTATTTACCCCTATGATGGCATACCATTTGCAATAGTAGACAAACCAAGGTATTGCAAATGGGGTATGTCCAGTCTTTTTTAGTAGCCATTTGGTCACAAACACAGGCCAAAGTTAGCGTTCGTATTTGTTTGTGTGTGAAAAATGCAAAAAACGCCAATTTTGGCCAGTGTTTGTGACTAAGTGGCTTCTAAAAACGACTGGACAGACCCCATTTGCAATACCTTGGGTTGTCTACTATTGTAAATAGTATGCCATCATAGGGGTAATTTTCATTCTTGGGCTACCATAGGGTCTCAAAGGCAACGTAACCAATCTGGCAAATTTTAATGTGAAAAAAATGAAACACAAACATTATATTTGACGCTGTAACTTTTGAAAACACCATAAAACCTGTACATGAGGGGTACTGTTGTACTCGGGAGACTTCGCTGAACACAAATATTTGTGTTTCAAAACAGTAAAAAGTATCACAGCAATAATATTGTCCGTGTAAGTGCTGTTTGTGCATGAAAAATGCAAAAAACATCACTTTTACTGGCGATATCATCGTTGTAATACATTTTACTGTTTTGAAACACTAATATTTGTGTTCAGCGAAGTCTCCCGAGTAGAACAGTACCCCCCATGTACAGGTTTTATGGTGTCTTGGAAAGTTATAGGGCTAAATATAGTGCTAGCAAATTAAATTCCCTTTACTTTCGGCATGGGTTGTCAGGCAGGTCCCGCTAATTGTAATTAATTAAGATACCTAATTATGTAAAAATATTACATAAATATATATGTGTGTGTGTGTGTGTGTGTGTGTGTATATATATATATATATATATATATATATATATATATAATTTTTAAAAAAATATTTTTATTTATATATAGTGATATATACGTATATATTTATGTATATAGATATACATATTATTTCGTACTACGTGTATTTTGATATAAATATATATATATTAATATCACAATACAGTTAGAACCAAATAACACACATCTATATATTTAATTATTTATTTTTAATTATTTTTTAATTTTATTTTTTAACGTATTTACATATTTTTTTATATTATATATAAATATATATATACTTAGATCATATATATATAATATACATATATATATGATCTAAGTATATAATTATTTATTTTTTTACACTTATAAACTTTAATTTTATTTGAATTCAGCCAGCAGGGGGACTAACTGTCATTACAGGCAGTCCCCCTGCTGGCATTGCAGCAGGCAGCTAACCCAGCCATGTGACTGTGGGGCTGCAGGAGGTCGGATGTGCCGCGGGTGGGCTCCCTGGGTAAGTAAAAAAAAAAACGGAGGGCACACTATTACGCCCGGCGGCGTTTAGAGCCGCCTAAAATAGGGCGTAATAGTACGCTCTATGGTCTGAAGGGGTTAAGGACCAGAGCTATTTTAACACTTTTGTGGTGTTTGTGTTTAGCTGTAATTTTCTGCTCTCTCATTTACTGTTCCGATACAAATTATATATATTTTTTTTTTTTTCAGGACAAAAATGGCTTTCTTTACATACTATTATTTTTATCATGTCATATAATTTATTTAAAAAATAATAATAAAATGTGGTGAAAAATTAAAAAAAAAACACGTTTCTTTTTTTACTTTCACTTAAAAAATCTTTTACTGATCTACAAAATTGAATGAAACAAACTGCTAAATAGATTCAAAATGTTGTCCTTATTTTCAAAACACCCAATGTTTGTGTTTTCTTGCTTTTATTTGCAAGTTATAGGGCTATAAGTACAAGTAGGAACTTGCGGTTTCAAAATGTACATTTTTCAAATGTATCAATAGTGACATTTTAACACTGTTATGTCATAAATCTCCAAAAAACACACCACATGTATATATTTTTCTTAAACTAGATAACCCAGGGTATTCATATAAGAATATTTTGATACTTTCTATGCAGCCATTTTACCACAAACCTTTGCCAAACTTTGCATAGGTAGTTTATTTTTTTCACATACATTTGCAATTCACTTATAAATTCATAGATTCTGTTAGGTGTCACTACCAAACACCCCAATATGTGTTCAGCAACATCTCCTGAGTACAG